AAAGGGAGAGGGTTGCGGGGCTCTCTGTAGGCACTGCACCCTTCAAGGGGAGAAGGTTGCGGGGCTCTCTGTAGGCACTGCACCCGTAAAGGGAGCGGGTTGCGGGGCTCTCTGTAGGCACTGCACCCGTAAAGGGAGAGAGTTGCGGGACTTAGTCACTGCCTGACTATCAGGACAAAGAAGAGGGAGGAGTCTGAGGTGACTAAGGATTATCGTGCCACTAACAGGAAAATGCATTTGGGAGGGGAGAGAATAAGTTCAGTTTGAACTTTGATTTTGAGGAGCTGATGAGAGATAGGTAGAGATGGCCAGAAAGCAGTTGTGAATGAGGGACTATAGCTAGATAGGAAGAGTTTAGGGCCAGAGAGAGAATGAAGATGTACAAGATTATGTACACTTGCTAAGGGTGAGAAGACAAGTGGGCTGAGAGCAGAATCTCAAGTAATTCCTGTTTTTAGAGGGTAGGTAAAGGAAGAGGAGCCAGAGAAAAATCTCCAGAGGCAAAGTAGAGCCAGGAGAGTTGAGTGCAAGGAAAATAAGGAAGGGGAACATTTCAAGAATGGGGTTGATAATGTTAGATGTCACTAAGAGGTTGGACAGTGAGGACTAAGAGAAGCCATTGCTTGTCTTGAAGAGAGAAGCTTTACTGGAGAGGTGGGAGTGGAAGTCAGATTGTAGCAGGTGTGGGTGGGTGATGGTGAAGTTGAGACAGCATCTATTGAGTGCCCTTTTAAGAAGTTTGGCGAAGGGGAAAGAGTGAGGAGCAGGAATTCGGAGAAGCTGTCTTCAGTTGAACAAACAAGATTTCAGAGGGGAAACTGCAGTTGTACCTAATTACTTCCATCCCCTTTCCTTCTCAAAAGCGTGCATACTGAGAGATCAGAAATAGGAACCAGTCTTTATTCTACTGAGAAGAACATCCTGCACTGTACAGGTAGACTGAGTGCTTTTTGTTATCCAAAAAAATTGCAATATGTTGAATTATATTAATTATGACTCGGAATAGGTACTTATTCAAGATAGAGATATGTTTATTAAAGGTTTTGATGATATGATACGTCTTTGAGAAGATTTGGTGGTGCTTTGTCTTTTACTTTTTGGAGACCTGGTATACAGAAGAGATCTGATTCTGCTTGATTCAAGAGACAGACGTAGAACCCTTGAGTAGCTACAGTGACATAGGTAGGCACTGTAGAAGGATCTTACAGATACCTTTTAACCCTTCTAATCTGTCATTCTAGGGAGAAATATACCCTTCTTCTTAATAAGTAGCGTCAGTGTTCAGGACACAGTTCACGTTTCTGCCGGGCCAAATTAGCAAGCTGCCCAACTTGAGATAGAGGGAGAGGGTTATACTTCCTAAGAGTCTCTTTGATATCCTTTGTTTCAAAGGATTTTCATCTGTCTAAATTTTTTTCCTCTAGAAATGGTTCCTGATGTCCAACAGCCCCTGTCACAGATTCCTTCAGATACAACCTCTCCTCTTCTCATACTTCCACCTCCTGTTCCCAATCCTAGCCCTGCCCTCCAGCCAGTTGAAACGCCGGTCGTCGGTGCTCCTGGTATGGGCAGTGTTTCCACAGAGCCAGATGACGAAGAGGGCCTCAAACATTTGGAGCAGGTAAAAGGCGTGCAGTTGGTTTTTTTCTCCTCAAACTGACATAAAAATTAGAAAGCATTAAATGAATATTCAAAAATAGAACTTTTGTGCGCTACATTTTAAGTACTGGAGAAGTTGTTTGTATATCTAGTACTTATTTGGGTAATTGTCTTTCAAATCATTTCATGGTTATAAGTTTCTGCTATGTAGTAGTCATTATGTCAGATTATTTTTTGCTCTTCTAAGGTTGCCCTTAGCTGTTTGCTTTTCTTTTTTCTTTTTGGAAATTAATGGAATGCCAGAAATGGCGAATACAAGCAGCTGTGGATGGGCACTGTGTCTTCTGTAGTTTTTGCCTCAAGTGGAACAGGGAAAATAGTTCATTAAACTTTCAGGATATTAACATGTTACTCAGTTCTTTATAGAGTTCTCTGAGATTGTGTATACCATTGTTATATGTAATGTGGATGATAGCTTGCTTTCTACAAAAGAATTTCTCTTTCCTTCGGGGTAGGATGGTTAGTGGCAAGGAATGCTGAAGAAGGGGTAGGTAGTGTCTTATGAAAACTTGTAAAAGATTTTATTTGTAATTATATCGATTGGGCCTTTTGTTCTGTTAACATCTACATGCTTTTATAGATTTAGCTGACATAGTTTAGAATTGACCAATGGCTTATTAGTTTAAAAAGTATTCTTCTTCGTGTGTTGATAAGAAGCCTGGGCTTTGATTCTTACCAGTTTGTGTTTTAGGCTCAGTTCAGTGTACTTAATCATTTTGAGACCTTGAGTAAGACTTTACCTCTCTGAGCCTCAGTTTCCTCTTCTGTAAAATGGGGATGATATCTATTTCATGGCATTGTTAGGAGAATTAAATTGTTGCTTGCTATGCTTCTTTCATAGTGTCTTTTCACAGATCCAGTAGTCCAAAAAAGGTAGACGTTCTGATTACATGGACAGGTGTTGGTTTAGGATTCTTTGTTTCCTCAATCCGTTTTTTTGTTTTGTTTTGTTTTTCTGTTATTAGCAAGCTGAGAAGATGGTGGCTTATCTCCAAGACAGTGCGTTAGATGATGAGAAACTGGCATCGAAACTACAAGAACACAGAGCAAAAGGAGTCTCCATTCCGTTAATACATGAAGCAATGCAGAAGTGGTATTATAAAGATCCCCAAGGCGAAATTCAGGGTAGGTCGTTTCTTTCTACTTTAAGGACAGAGGTGTCTGCCATTGTCCCCATATTCTGTAAGATGGTGATTTGTTTAATGTTAATTTGCATAATAGTAGAAAAAGAAGTCAAGGCTACAGGCATTCTTAATATATATTAGAAGACATTTTCTAGGCTTCCTCCGTAATTTACAATTTTTAGTGAAGGGGGGATGCTCAATGAAAAGAATTTGAATACAAGGAAGAATGTGCTGACTAATACGATAGGGATGTAAGCAAAATGCGTCAGACCCCCTCAGATCCGGAATCCCATCTGGATCGCCAGTCAGGTAAGTTTATGTGTGTTGAGTTGTTTGTGGTATTCCTTTCTCCTTTTGATGTCAGCAGGCTCTGTAGTGATACCCAGTTTCACTTGTAATGTTGGTAATTTGTGTCTTTTTTTTTTTTCTTTGTCAGTCTTGCTAGAGGTTTGTCAGTTTTATGGATCTAAGAATCAGCTCCTTTGTTTTATTGATTTTCTGTATTTTTATTTTCAATTTCATTGGTTTCTGCTCTTTATTATTTTTTTCCTTTTGCTTGCTTAGGGTATATTTTACTCTTCTTTTTTTAGGTTCTTGAGGTGGGAGCTTAGATTATTGATTTGAGACTTTTTCGCTTTTCTAATGTAAGCATTTAATACTGTAAAGTTCCCTCTTAGCACTGTTTTAGTTGTATCCCACAATATTTGATATAGTGTATTTTCATTCAATTCAGTGTATACATGTGTATGTATGTGTGTGTATATGTATATACACATATATGTTTTTCTTTTATTTTCCTCTTTTAACCATGGATTATTTAGAAGTATGTTGTTTACTTTCAAGCATTTGGAGATTTTCCTGTTACCTTTCTTTTATTGATTTCTAGTTTGAGTCCATTATGACTGGAGAACACAATCTTTATGATTTCAGTTTTTAAAAATTTGTTGAGGTTTCTTTCATGGCCAGAATATGGCCTATTTTAGCATATGTTCTAGGGACACTTTAAAAAGAATGTATATTTTGCTATTATTGGAGTGTTCTATAAATGTTGATTAGATCCTGGTGCTTGATGGTGTTGTTGAGTTCTTTATCCTTGGTGGTTTTCTGTCTGGTTGTTCTCATTTATTGAGAGAGGGTTAGAGGGTTATTGAAGTCTCAGCTGTATTTGTGAATTTGTTCATTTCTCAAGTCTTATCAGTTTTTCTTCACATATTTTGCAGCTCTGTTGTCTGGTGTATACACATTTAGAGTTGTGGATTGACCCTTTTATCATTGTATAATATTCTTTTATCTCTGGTAGTTTTCTTTGCTCTGAAATCAGCTTTACCTGATAACATAGCCACTCCTGCTTTCCTTTGGTTAATGTTTACATAATATATCTTTCTTCATCTTTTTACTTTGAACCTGTTATATATGAAGTAAGTTTCTTGTAGATAGCAGATGGTTGAGTCTGGTTTTTGAATCCATTCTGCTGATCTGTCTTATAATTGGTATATTTAGACCATTTAACATTTTATGTAATTATTATGATTATTTTATGTAATAATAATTATTATTATTATTATGATAAGTCTGCCATTTTATTTTTTGTCTATTCTTTTTTCTTCATTTCTGTTTCTCTTTTTCCTGCCTTCCTGTGAGTACTTGAATATTTTTTAGAGTTCCATTTTGATTTTTCTGTAGTGTTTTTGAATGTATCTCTTTCCGTAGCTTTTTTTTTTTTAATTGTGCTTAAGTGAAAGTTTACAGAGCAAATTAGTTTCTCATTAAATAGTTAATACACAAATTGTTTTGTGACATTGGTTGCCAGCCGTGCAGTGTGTCAGCACTGTCCCCTTCTCCGCCCCGGGTTCCTCGTTGCCATTTGTCCAGTTTTCTGTCCGTTTCTGCCTTCTCGTCTTTGTTTTTGGGCTGGTATGCCCATTAGTCTCCAATGCATGAATTGAACTATGAAGCCTGTTCCTCACGCGTGTTGTTATTGGGCCTATAGTCCTGTCTAATCTTTGGCTGAAGGGTGAAACTCAGGAGTGACTTCAGTACTGGGTTAAAGGGTATCTGGGGGCCATGCTGTTAGGGTTCTTCCAGTCTCTGTCAGACTAACAAGCCTGGTCTTTTTTTTTGGTGAATTTGAATTTTGTTCTACGTTTTTCTCCCACTTTGCCCCCTGTGTTATGATCCCTGCCAGAGCAGTTGGTGGTGGTAACCAGGCACCATCTAGTTGTTCTGGGCTCAGTCTGGTAGAGGTTATGGTAGTTGTGGTCCATTAGTCCTTTGGACTAATCTTTCCCTTGTGTCTTTGATCTATTTCATTCTCCTTTTTCCAGCTGGGATGGGACCAGTAGATGTAACTTAGATGGCCACTCACAAACTTTTCAGAACCCAGACGCTACTCACCATAGTCAGATGTAGAATAGTTTCTTTATAGACTGTGTTATGCCAGTTGAGCCTAGATATCCCCAGCCCTCAGCTCAGTCTCTCAGGGTGTTTGTCTGTGAAGCTTCTGTGACTTTGCCCTGGTCAAGTTGTGCTGACTTCCCCAGTGTTGTGCACTCTTACCCTTCACCAAAGTTACCACTTATCTACGATCTGGTTAGTATTTTTCCTTCCATCGTAACCATCAAAGATTGTTTCTTTCTGTGTGGAAACGTTTTCCTGTGTTTTTATAATAGTGGTCTCATACAGTATTTGTCCTTTTGTGATTGACTTATTTCACTCAGTCTAATGCCTTCCAGATTCATCCATGTTGTAAGATGTTCCGCAGATTCATCGTTGTTCTTTATTGCTGTGTAGTATTCCATTGTGTGTATGTACCATAGTTTGTTTATCCATTCAGATGTTGATGGACACTTAGGTTGTTTACATCTTTTTGCTATTTTGAATACTGCGGCAATGAACATGAGTGTGCTTATGTCTACTTATGTGATGGCTCTTATTTCGCTAGGATATATTCCTAGGAGTGGGATTACTGGATCGTATGGTATTTCTATTTCTAGCTTTTTAAGGAAGCACCATATTGTTTTCCAGAGTGGTTGTACCATTTTGCATTCCCACCAGCAGTGTATAAGGGTTCTAGTCTCCCTATAGCCTCTCCAACATTTGTTATTTTCTGTTTTTTTGATTCATGCCAGTAATGCCGGGGTGAGATGGTATCTCAGTGTAGTTTTGATTTGCATTTCTCTGATGGCTAGTGATCACGAGCATTTCCTCATGTGTCTGTTAACTCTTTTTGTAGCTATTTTAATGGTTGTTGTAAGTATTGCATTATATATACGTAACTTATCACAGTCATAAATGGTATCATCATTCTACTAGTTTCAGTGAAGCATAGAAACTGTACCTCTATTTACGTCCTGTTACCGCCCACATTTATAATTGTCTTAGGTATTTCCTCTCTATCCATGTAGAACCACAACAATTTTTGCTTTAATCGTCAGGCATAATCTAGAGAACTCAATAGGAGAAGGCAAGACTATTGTACTTACAGATTTGTTTATCGTGTTCTTCTTTCCTTCCTGATGTTCCAGGATTCCTTCTTTTATTGTTTCCTTTCTTTTTAGAGAGCTTGCTCTGGTCATTCTTCTAGGGTAGGTCTGCTGGCAACAAATTTTCTTTATATGAGACTTGATATCCATTCATTCCTTAAGGATATTTTTGCTGAACCCAAGATTCTGGGTTGACACTTCTTTTCTTTCAGCACCTGAAAAATATTGTGCCACTTCCTTCTGTGGAGGTGAGGGCTTTTGACTGGCTGCAGAGAAGCTCTGGCTCCCTTCTTGGCCTTCTCTGACACCATCCTGGTGAGGGTATTAGAGTGCCTCATTACAGCCCAGCCAAGGTGAAAGTCTAGGCTCCCCACTTTGCCTTTCCTCGTGTGGGTGAGGTAGGGCCACAGTGTTTTTCCGTAGTCTTTGGCTGAGATAAAGTGGTTATTGCCTAAAAGTTTTCATTTTGCTAAGCTGCCCCTTTTTGATCCCGTGACTCGAGAGAGGAGGTTTTTTTTTTTTAAACCCACATCTGTTGCCATTTCTGGTTGCCAGCTTCTTCAGCTCCAAGTCTGGGATATATGAGGTATAAACAAACTACTGTGTCTCTCCTCAGGCCTCAAGGTCCTTAGTCTGCTTTATTCTCTCCACCTTTCAGAGTCTTCTTCGGTTTGTTGTATGTAATGCCCAGGGTTTTTAGTTCTCCTTGGCGGTAGGAATGGGGAAAAGTATGTCTACTCCATCTTCTCTGAAATGAAATTTCTAGGGCTTTGTTTTGTTTACTGTTGTGTCCCCGGTGCCTAGGTCACGTAGTAGGCATTCAATGAGTATCTGTTGACTGACGAATGGTTTATTGATTAGAGTGCATTTGTTTGTTAGTTTTGTATATAAAATACTTGGCAGTTTTTTGGTATAATATCTAGAGAATGTTATTCACCCTACCAAGAGCAAATTGAATCAATCTTATTTGGGTAAATAAATTTTAGTTTATCTTAATTTAAATGATTATTGTTTATATTCTACCCCATAGTCAATAATCTCTGTCAGAAAATGAAAAACCGAGTGGTCCAGAGTTGAACAGAAGGCAGTCCTCTCTTCAAGTATATCATACTTTTCTAACCAGTGACTTGTTGCAGAGCTTGAGTGAGACAGAGACCATTATACTCCTTATAATAATTAAAGCACTGCTGAGACTTTGGGATATGTAAACACAAGGCTCATTTCAGAGTTGTTTCTGTTACATTTTCTTAATTAGAAGCCTGCTCACCACCTTTGGAAGTGACTTAAATTAAGATACAAAGGATTCGACAGGTGCCACCTGAAGAGGTGTTTCCTCTGGTTGAGGGTCAGAGATATCTTTTTCCTCTTTGTGCCTAAAAGGGTTCTTACTGCTCTTTTGCTTGATTGGTGATATTATAGGTCCCTTCAATAATCAGGAGATGGCAGAGTGGTTTCAGGCGGGCTATTTTACCATGTCTTTATTGGTGAAGAGAGCATGTGATGAAAGCTTCCAGCCTCTTGGTGATATCATGAAAATGTGGGGAAGAGTTCCCTTCTCGCCTGGCCCAGCTCCCCCTCCTCATATGGTAAGTACCTGAAGCTCACTATAACACATATTAGACAAGAAGCACTTGCTTCTCTTTGAAAACATAGCCCAAATGTTACATGTGATGAGGAAGCAATGGTAATACTTCGAAAGTCATTGAAATTGTAATTAGAAGTCTGAGTTGGAGACTGCATATGTAGCTATAATGATTTTTCAAAACTCAAGTACTTGTGCCCATTTTCTTCAGATTGTCTATTTGTCTGTATGTCTGCCTCTCTCTCAAACCCAGAGAAACAGTCCTTCAGTAGCTTTCCACCAGATGTAGAACGAAGGCCAGCATCTTATGGTGGCCTACAGACCCTGCACTGACTCCTTCCCTTTCTAAGCTCATCTCAGAGCTTTACCTTTACCTTCCGTGCTTCAACACAGCTGGCTTCTCTGAGTTCCTTGTTGTCTCTAGTGAGAATGTACATACTCCCGCTTCTCCTCTGCTTGCCTCTTGCTTTCTTGCTTAAAAACTTCCTAAATTGGAGGTTTACTATAAAGAAAATGCTACTAATCCGAAATTCCATTACTTCACACTATTTTGAGGATTTTCTTTCTTTTTTGAATGTTAGCTACTGGTATTTTGATTACAAACGGAACATAATACTGGTGACCCCCCAGCGTGCTCGCACTGCAGCCCCTTTGGCAGGTGTAGTCCTTGCTCCTCCTGTGACTGCCCCGGACATCGCCTGGTGGGGTTCTTTTTGGAGCTCTCTGGAGCTGCGCCTTATTGTCCTTCTCCAGGTTGGTGTGTCTGGTGGCTGGCCATTGTCAACATGGCCGTAGTCAGAAATCTGAAGTGTGAACACTGGATTTTCACAGGAATATCCACCACTGGTTCGGTCATGACGCACAGACTGAGTGCCAGGCCTTGTGCTGGGTTCTCATGAGACGAGGGTGAATAAGACACAGCCTCTGTGGACAAGGGAGTTTGGAGGTGGGACAGCGGCTCTCAAACTTCTGACCATGACCCGTGTTAAAATCCATCCCTGGGCTGTATGTCCGTAACTTGGTATATATATGTGTTTATAGCAAGTTTCAGAAAACATTTTGTGCAGTGTACACTCTGATGTTTTCTGTTCTCTTTCATCTTTTTGAAATGCTGGTCTTCACCCAGTAACTGATTTCTCAGTCCACTGATCGGTTGAGACCTATAGTTTGAAGAGTAGTGGGCTAGAAGAGAAGATGCCTTGGCGAGGGGAATTATTTCTGACATTGGCTTAATTGCTGTAAATCCATATAAAAATCATATTGTGTATTATTGTATGCAAGTTTAACTTCTATACCAAGTTTGATCCTTATTTCCCTTCTCTGGAGTTGGGATGGATTTTTATCCTGCATGTGTCAGCAGCTGAAATCTCATCACTTGAAGCTTGGCATGCTTACCCTGGTCCGTTTCCTGACTGCCAGCCATAGCAGCTGAGCCTCAGTCATACCTGTTTCAGCAGAAAAACTGTGGAAAGCTCTGCTTCCTGTCAGCTCCTTTGCTCTCAGTAGCACTGCTAAGGAGATAGCTCACCTTCGTATGAGTGTGCCTAAAGCCTAGCTGTTCATGTTGAAAACTGACATTAACCTAGGGTAGCTTTCCCCTCCAGCATTTAGTGAGAAAGAAGCATGTCCCTGAATTTCAGATGATCTCCACCTTGAGAAACTGTATATTCCAGACTATGTTGTTGTTGAGTGCTGTTGAACTGACTTACAGTGAGCCCGTGGACAACAGAATGAAACCCTGCCCCGTCCTGTCCATCTTCACGGTTGTTCCTATGTTTGAGCTCATTTGTTGCAGCTACTGTGTCAGCTCATCGTTGAGGGTCTTTCTCTTTTTCGCTGACCTTCTGCTTTACCAAGCATGATGTCCTTTTCCAGGGATTGGTCCTTCTTGATAACATGTCCAAAGTATGCAAGACGAAGTCTTGCCATCCTTGATTCTAAGGAGCATTCTGGCTGTATTTCTTCCAAGACAGATTTGTCACGGCTTGTATCAAGCCATGGGTCAGGTGACCTTAGTCCTCAAACTGACATCTTTGCTATTTAATGCTTTAAAGAGGTCTTTTGCAGCACATTTGCCCAATGCAGTACATCCTTTGATTTCTTGACTGCTGCTTCCATGGACATTGATCCAAGTAAGATGAAATCCTTGACAACTTCAGTCATTTCTCCGTTTATCATGATTTTGCTTATTTGTTCAGTTGTGAGGATTTTTGTTTTCTTTATGTTGAGGCGTAATCCATACTGAAGGCTGTGGTCTTGGATCTTCATCAGTAAGTGCTTCACGTCCTCTCACTTCAGCAGGCAAGGTTGTGTATCTGTGTATTGCAGGTTGTTAATTTCAAAGTATAATCATTGTGAAATGATCTGAGCGATTCACTAATGATCTGCCTAAGTTTAGTCTGTCATCTGTATACTTTATTTCTTATATCTTACACTTGACGTTTCATTCTCTCTCACATTCTCAACTTTTTAAAGTTTAAATTCCAGCTTTGGTTATTTGAAATATAGGCTAAAAAACAGGATTTTATAACTCGTGTACTAACAGCAACAGAAACCACCTAGTTTTTGTGTAGAGAGTTATAGTTTTCAAAGCTCTTCCATAGTCTGTTTAATTTAAAATTGATCGACATCTTTCAGAAGGCATCCTTGGAGACTGGCTCCCTGTGTTCATCATGTGCCATTATAAAATGTCTACCATAATATTTCCTTTATCTTTTAGATAATTTTTCTCTTATACTGTCCCATTTCTCTAATTTCTACATTACCTCCAAATTTGTAAATCGCCTTTAAGATCGGGAGAATTATACAGCTTTCCAGGTGCGGCAATAACTCTGGAACACAGTACAGCTTCAGGGGCAGGAGGGGAGACCCTTTTCCACCTTAAGGAATCTCTTAAAATGTAGATGCCACCGTATTCCACTAGATGGTGTGGCTTAGTTTTAAAGATGTCGATGTTTTAGGGTAAGGGTGAGGTGGGAAGTGAAAATTCTGAGATTCACTTTGCTTTCAGATGTATGTATTAAGTGGCTTTTATTTTTATGTTTTTTGAAATTTATTTAATGGTATTTCTTCCCCACCCCTTCACTCCCAGGGAGAGTTGGACCAGGAGCGACTGTCAAGACAGCAGGAACTCACAGCCTTATACCAGATGCAGCACCTCCAGTACCAGCAGTTCTTAATACAGTGAGTGCAGTAACGTGGTAGGAGGCGCTGCAGCTCCACAGGCGCGTTAGGTGTAATCTGTTGGCAGGTCTCACCCGCTGCAGCACAGAAAGTCTGTGTGACGCTTCAGTTGGCCATCTAGTGGCATGTTACCACTATACAACCCAAGTTTAGTCCCTCATCTCACCTCTTAAATGCCAGAAGTTAGCACAAGTTGACATGCAGCTGTAATTTTGCAAGCTGTTTAGGTTATAAAGTAAGAACCAACAAACCATTTAAGAACTGAGTGCTTCCTGTGGGGCTAAGCTTTGAATGCCACAGAGAAAAAACACAGGAGGAGGGAGGGGAAGAAAGACGAAAGTTCACACTGTTAGGAATGGTGTGGAATGATGGCAGAATCGCTTACACTCTGCATCCCTTTCATAGAAGAAATGGGATTTGCTAGCCATCTGATACAGAGGTTGGCAAACTGTAGCCTGTGGGCCAGATCCTCCCTGCTGCCTGTTGTTATAAACTAAGTTAATCAGAGCACCAGGAGTCCCTGGGTGCCACAGATGGTTAAGCATGTGACTACTAGCTGAAAGGTTGGGGTTTGAGCACACCAAGAGGTGCCTCGGGAGACAGGCCTGGTGATCTGCTTCCCAAAGGTTATAACTTTGAAAACCCTTTGGAACAGTTCTGCTCTTCATATGTGGGGTCGCCATGAATTGGAAACGACTTAGGGCAGCTAACAAGAACATCAGAGCACCAAACCAAACCAGTTGCTGTCTGACTCACGAAGTCCTGATGTGTGCAGAGTAGAGCTGTGCTCCATAGGGTTTCCAAGGCTGTGACCTTTCGGAAGCAGATCTCCAGGCCTTTCTCCTGAGGCACATCCGGGTTTGTAGACCGGTGCTTACCCAGTCACGTCTCCCAGGAGCTCACCTTTATGGAAGCACAGCCACACTCATTTGTTCCGTATTGTCTCTGTCTGCTTTTGCGAACCAACGGCTGAATTGAGTAGCTGTGATGGAGACTGTATGGCCTGCAGTGCCAAAAACGTTTGCTATCTGGCCCTTGACAGAAAAAGCTTGTTCACTACTGATCTAGTGGAAAAAATTGAGACATAAATTTGAGAATTTTTGTTTAAGTGAATTTTTTTTTTTTTTTTTTTGAGCAGCAGGTGCTTCCTATGGAAATAGCTGCTAGTTTGAATCTGCTTTAATTTCACTTGTTTTCTGATAAAAGGCTATTGTGTTCTCGAAGGGTTTGCCAGTTTTTGACATTTTGTACTTTTTACTGTCCTTTTTTGATCAAAAGCATGTCATCTATAAGTTCATTTCTTTCTGGAATGAATTATGGAACATTCTATTTGACTATTATTATTGCAAAGAATGGTAAAATATATTTGGTAGCTATTTCTAATGGTGCACTCTTGGAGGGTGTAGTGCATTAGAGTTTGCCTTTCAGAGTCTCGGTAAAGTGACTAAATGTGGATAGATAGGTGACACTTTATTTTGCTTTTTGAAGACAACAGTATGCACAGGTTTTGGCTCAGCAACAGAAAGCAGCCCTGTCTTCCCAGCAGCAGCAACAGTTGGCGCTTCTCCTCCAGGCTCTGAAGATGAGGTTGGTGGTCATTCCATTCTGTGTCTCATTGTGTGTGTGCTGAAAGAGAGAAGAAGGGAAATTCAGGTAGAGCGTGTGAATTCTGGTAGCAGAATACCCACACATAACGCATACCTGCAGAGGGCAGGTGCATAAAGCAGAAGAAAAATGATAGTTAAGCTAAAGGTAGAACATGCATTCAGTCTTTTTACTCATGGAGGATCAGTTTGGAATAGTAACTAAAGGATAATGAGGACACTTGAGAAGCAGTGTAGTCTTACGGGAACCGCAACAAAAGAAGTTGCTGTCTAGGATCTTAATCTCACTTTTACCTATTATACCTCAAGAGATAATAACAATACCACACAGGATTATAATTTTCTGAAACCCAAAAGCCATTAAGGTATGTCTAAGGAAAAGGAAATCGGACTAGATGCCTTAAATTTCTGCTTTTTTCAGATTATTATTTAATTTAGTATGTATTGTATACCCTGAAAAGGTATCAGTCCCTACCCTCCAGAACCTTACTGCCCAGTTTAATCAAACTATTGATATTTCTCTTTTGAAATTTAACCCATCCTGTGAGGTAGGCAGGTTAGGTGATAGAGTCTCAATTTTACAAATGGGCAGACTGGGGCTCTGAGAGGCAAAAGGACTTGGTTGACATAACACACAGGAAACTTCAGAGACAGAACTAAAATGCAGACCTTTTGACTTACTGTTTAAGGTTTTTTCGTTACAATGTGATGCTCCTGTGGGTTTTATTAAGATATTCAGGATTTTTTAAGATAGTAGGTGTGTCCATTATTTAGAAATCAGTATCTTCTAATACATGTGATTATTGTGCCTCTGACTTTGTTGTTTGATAGTGTTAGGCTTTAGTTAAAACAGTGAAAGAGTTTTCTGGCCAAATAACCTGGAAAAGCTAGAAATAACATAGAAATTCCTCTTCATCTGATTTATGCAAATGACAAGAACAAGTTGATTTTTTATTTCCCTTTTGCAGAATATCTGATCAGAACATCATTCCCTCAGTAACTAGGTCTGTGTCCGTGCCAGATACTGGCTCTATCTGGGAGCTTCAGCCAACAGCCTCACAGCCTACAGGTAAAAACCTACACCAGGGCTTTAGTATAGCTTCAAGGTTTTAGATTCTAATAATAAGTTTATATTCAGTTTTTAAAAAAAGTATCAGATTTTTGTATCCATTTAGTATTGAATATCAACAAAAAGTTACTTTTTTTTAATAGACTCCAACAAAAGATTGAAGTCACTATTGAAATAAACTGTTAAGAATTTGTTATAAATCATTTTAGAAGATCAGATTTCTTATATCTGAGTCAATTTTTATGTTGCTCTAACCAGTGTGGAAAAAAAGTCTTTTAAATCGTCTTTGATCTCTTCAGCCAGAGTGAAAAACATAAATAAAAACAAAAGTAATGGTGATCCATCTTTTTCGATCACTGCAAGGGCCCACAGATTTTAGGAGGAGAAAAACCTGCTTTGAAAAGAACACCTTGCCTCATTCTCTGATCTTTTTGCATCAAATTAGAAAATTTTGGGTTGAGATTTTTTTAAAATCTTGATATTGGTGAAGTACTTCTGTCGAGGTCTGATACGTGCAGAGGTGCAGAGTTGGAATCATGGATAGTCCTGATAAGAGGTTATAGTTGTATTGAAAATTCTCAGGAACCATAAGCGTTGATGGATATTTTTAGACCCATTCAGCCATTCAGGCTGTAGTTCTCTTAGCAACACTGACCTGGGGAGTGTGGAGGGGAAGGATCGGGTATCCTTTCTTACCAAGTTTCTCTGCTATGCCTACCTTATTTTTACTTGATAGCCATTTATAGTTATTAAAATATTCTCCATCTTTTTGGGAAGCTACAACTATTTTATTAAACATTTTTTTCTCTTTGGATTTGTGTGAAATTGAGGTTTTTTACAAACATTCCATTGGTTTTGTACAGATAGCAATTAACAGTCCATAAATTGACTATCATAGGAAAGTAGGAAATAGAGAATGCTGAAAAGTGGTGTCAGCAAGCCTAGCTGACAGAGGAACACAGACTCGGAAGCCCTTATCTGTTGCCTTCCGGACCTGATGCTGCGGTACGTCTTGGTCAGGACCAGGTGTCACGTGTGAGACCTGCCCAGGCTTCTGCTGCACCTCTCTTGTCCCCACTGGGTGTGCAGTAAGAGGCTGTGTGGTTACTGGAAATACCGTGGGCTTTGGAATTGAGTACACGTGGGTTTGAGTCCCGGCATGGCCACATGCTTGCTGTGGGCCCTTGAGAATGTTACAAAACCGCCTCTGACCCTTAGTTTCTTTTTCTGTGAAAACGGGGCTATGAACAGATACCTTATAGGGCTTTGCGAGGATCAAATTAGTTGCCTAGTAAATGCCTGATACTTTCTTTCCTTCTGGCTGTGTTGTAGGGTGTGACGTAAACTAGAGCCCACTGGCAGTGTGGTCGATTTAAAAGCAGAACAGATGGGTGTGATGGAGCTCCTTCCAGAATAGGGAAGCAGCTTTTGTCATCAGGCTTATGGCTATGTGACCATGTGTGGAAGCTCTGATGTCTCTCCCATTTTCCCCCGTCATTGTCCTACAGTTTGGGAAGGTGGCAGTGTGTGGGATCTTCCCCTGGACACCACGACTCCAGGACCAGCCCTGGAGCAGCTTCAGCAGATGGAGAAGGCCAAGGCTGCAAAGGTCAGACCCTCACTTTCTGTAGCAGCGCGTGCCTTGTGGCTGAGTGCATGGGTGCTCCGTCTGCTGGTCTCCACTTCTCTCTAGCTAGCTGTGCTTTTTCTCCTTTTAGTCTACTGCTGCTTAGCTGGTTTAAGGACCCTCAAACCTCAAAACAGAACTAAAATTAAGTGATCAATTGATTGGTTGACATATTAATAATCATGGCCATGGGCATAGTTTAAGTTATATCATTTTTGGTAGAAACATTTGTTCTAAGTCTGAAGACTAAGAAACTAGCCGCTACACTGCCTATTAGACCCCCGATCTGTGGTCTGAGATTTGCTGCAGGAGGCTATAGCTCCCCGCCGAAGCTCTGGGGTGGTGTTTGCATTTCTTAGTGTCCCCAGACATGTAGCTGAAAAGCTCAACATTAACATTAGATCCTGTGTTCCATTCACATTTTCTAGAGGAGCTAAGAATCTGGAATTTTGGTTTTAGTACTTGCCAGAAGTACTTTCAACACCTAGCATCATCGTAATGATTTCTGGGTGTGTGTGCCTCCAAGGGTGTCTTGTTCCTGTTTTATATTTAATGTGTCCCTGTCCTTTGAGGAAGTGACTGTCTCCTTCGAGTGCCCAGAATGTGGAAAGGGTTCATGGTCAGGGTCTGTCTCTGTAAATGAGTGAGAGGCCGTAGTCTAAGTAACTTTCATGTGCCTTCTGGTCCCCAGTGCTTTGTGTGGCGAGTACATAAATGATGGAAGATGGGTCCTTCAAGGAGCTTGCAGTCTGCGGCCCAGAGGGACAGACATTACAATGACAGGGTGGTTGAGAAGCACATGGACGCAGTTGTAGAGGTGGGGATCAGGAGCTGGGTAACACTTCTGATGAACTGTGAACTCATGTTCACTGGGAAGAGATTAGGACTTAGCCCAGGTGAAGGGTTTGGGCATGACAGAAGTAGAAAGAGGTGAAAATTCAATTGCAGTTGAAGGAAACAGCACCCATAAAGGTCCAGAAATGCTCAGTAATTCGATCTGGCTTGGAACCACAGTGAGTCTGAGGGATAAATGATGAGAGAGGAGAGGAAAGTTGATGAGGCAGACCAGTCATGAAGAGCCTTGCATAGATCATGTTACAGAGTTAGGCTTTATTTTCAGGGTGCAGGGCGTTGTTGAAAGTAGGTCTGGGAGTGATTTTTTTTTTTTTTTTTTTTTTGAGGGAAAGGGTGGCATTGAGCTGGGGAAAGTGGGCCAAACAGGAAGCTGGGAAACTGGATAAGAGACTCTTTGGAATGTGGGTGAGAAAAGCAGAGGTCTGAACTGAAGCTGTGGCAGTGGGACCAGAGACTAGGTACTGGATCGATTCTTGTTTGGGAACTGTAAATGATAGGATTTGTTTAGTGATTGGTCTTCAAACGTTAAAGAATTCTATAGTTTTTTTACACTAGAAGCTTTGCAGCATTGCTGTTGAAACCTTGTAGCCACACACTGCTAGATCTTCAGCCAGCTATCCTTTTGTAGGAAAAAGTAAAGAAACGCCACTCTAAAAAAATTCTTAGTTACCTTCCCGTTGGCCTCTTTTCCACGGTGCCTAGGACCTGTGGTGTGTTTAGTGACAGTGTGGAGTGAGGAGGTAGGCAGACAGGCGGGGAGAAAGTACACTCAATTTAGAGAGCATGAAGCTGTGCTCGTGTTGCTGTGACATACCAGAGCTCCTGAGAGTGCTGACTGGGAGGGAGCCGTTCCAGGGGACTCAGTGAGTGGTAGGGTCTGCACACCCCAGCCCCTCCTGCCAGTACTGCGTGGTGAGGCTGGTACTCAGTGCTTGGCTCCAGGTTCCTGAGAGCTCTCTCGTGTAATCACAGCTAGAACAGGAGAGGAGAGAGGCAGAAATGAGGGCAAAACGGGAAGAGGAGGAGCGCAAGAGGCAAGAAGAACTCCGGAGACAACAGGAAGAAATGCTTCGGAGACAGCAGGAGGAGGAGAGGAAAAGGCGGGAAGAAGAGGAGCTTGCCCGAAGGAAACAGGTACACCTCCGAGCACTCTGACCGTGGGATTAGCCCTGGAGAGTCCTGGAAGACTCACTGACCTTTAGAGAGAACGTCTGCTCTCTGCTAACACCCACGGGAGGGTATTCTTCAGTCCTAGTAAATCTTCCCAATGGAGTTCCTTTGTGAATTTCCTGTGGTTTTATAGACCAGTTAGATTTCTGAAGTTCCACCCTTGCTGCTGAAAACAATGAAGGAAGTAACTTTGGTGTGCAGCATTAAATGTCAATGTTTTTGAGAGCCAAATATGCTATTTAAAATTATGCTTACCTTTAACTCAGACCTCTGCCCTTTCTTTGCTCTTTTCCTTGAACCTGTCCTGCTTTCACCTCTATACTAGGGACTAGTGTTTCAGAAAGGAGGAAAAACCAGACATGTAACTACATAGCTTTTTTATTTTTAAGATATATTTATCATTTGTACTTAGTGTTCTGTAACCTACCTTTTGACATACATTATGTCCTTTTCCCATGTCCAGTATACAAATCTACATCATACTTGTTCACTATATGAAATTTCATTTTATAGATAAGTTATGATAACTTAGCCAGTTCCCTGTTATTGGACATGAGGGTTGTTCCCAATTTTTCACTGTTACAAGAGAGTTTGAATGAAAATCCTTATAGCTAAGTCTTAAGTATTTCTCACTAGTGATGTTGAACATTTTTCGTGTTTTTTTGCCATTTGCATTTCTTTTATAGAATTCTGTACTCATATACTTGGCCTACTTTTTTATTGGGGTGTTTCGTAGACCCCGAGTGAAAGAATCCAGTCTGTAATAGCCCGAAAATCTGGCCTTCACGTTTCACATGTTGTTGGCCTCCAAAGGTACTCTGTGAAAAACAAAAGGGGCCATTTGAGATTAAGTTTCTAAACTACTAATATTTCTTAGTTATAGTGTACATTGGCATACAAAGGCTGAAGTAGTATTGCAGTAAAACCCATTTAATTCTGTTTTGCTCAGTGTTCCCTGCTCACTGTTCCCTCAATTAGTTTGACAGTGGGACCCTTTTCTGTATAATACTTAGTACTGTCGGTGGAACTTTGTTCTTCGGAAGAACTCAGAACATATTCTGAGAAACACTGCATTACTCAGTACTGACTAGAGAACTACCTCCTACCTCACCAGGCTTCATTGGTGGCTATGTTGATTTCTCAGTGAATTAAAAAATGGTCACTGAAAGTACCAGTGGAGAAACCAAAGGCTGTATCCTAATGTGGACCTTCCTAGGGTTAATCAGTAAATGATGCAGTTAATACAGAAACTGGGATAGACTTCACAGGGTATTGCTGTTTACTAATATTTTAAAGACAGATTTTTTTAAGTCTCATTGTGCCCACTCCCCAACTCACATAAATACTTTTAACTCTAGATCCTGGTTACATATTTCTGTATTTACTGTTAAGAGGGTTTTAGTAATACTTAATCTATTCCTTTTCAAACTAAGATATATTATTTGAGAATCACAGTTCCATCCCCCTTTTTTCTTTAGGAAGAGGCTCTGCGGCGCCAGAGGGAGCAAGAAATCGCGTTAAGGCGGCAGCGAGAAGAGGAAGAACGGCAGCAACAAGAAGAAGCTCTTAGAAGGCTGGAGGAGAGGAGGAGAGAAGAGGAAGAACGGCGGAAGCAGGAAGAATTGTTACGCAAGCAGGTGACCAGATGGCTTGATCTTCTCGTTGCTCCTTTTCAACCGGGAATTAGTGATGAAGAAAATACTAGGATAGCCCATTTAAAATTTTCTTATGTTGCTTGAAACTACCAAAAGAGACCCATCTGGCTCTTATTACTTCTAAATTTTTTGTTTCTTAAAATGAAAACCTATTTTTTGAGAGAAAAAGTAAAATTTATCTTCACTCTGGCTTTTTCTCAGATACATGGTAAGAAAAGTTGTAAAATGTGTTCTTTTTAGCAAGTTTCAAACTTATACAAAATAAACAGAGGAGTATAATAAATCCCCACATACCTGTCAGCCAGTTCAGTAATTATTAACATTCTGCCATTTCTGTTTTATCCGTACCACCAGTCACTCCTCACTCTTATTTTTATGGTATAATTTTTTGTTGCTAGGTGCATCGAGTCGGTACTGACTCATGGCGACCCTGTATACAAACAGGACGAAACACTGCCCAATCCTGCACCATCCGCACAGTTGTTGCTGTGTTTGAGCCCAATTGTTGCAGCCACTGTGTCAGTCCATCTCCATGAAGGTCTTCCTCTGTTTGGCTGACCCTCTACTTTACCCAGCATAATGTCCTTCTCCAGGGACTGGTCTCTCCTGATGACATGTCCAAAGTACCCAAGATGAAGTCTCGACATCCTCGCTTCTGAGGAGCATTCTGGCTGTACTTCTTCCAAGACAGACTTGTTTGGTCTTCTGGCAGTCCAGGGTATATTCAGTATTCTTTGCCAACACCATAATTCAAAGGCATCAGTTCTTCTTTGTTATCGTTGTTGTTAGGTGCCATCAAGTCATTTCCGACTCATAGCGACCCTGTGTACAACAGAACGAAACACTGCCCATTCCTGCACCATCCTCACAACCGTTGTTATGCTTGAGCCCGTTGTTGCAGCCACTGTATCAGTCCATCTCGTAGAGGGTCCTCCTCTCTTTTGCTGACCCTCTACTTTACCAAGCATGGTGTCCTTCTCCAGGGACTGATCCCTACTGATAACATGTCCAAAGTATGTGAGACATAGTCTTGCCATCCTTGCTTCTAAGGAGCATTGTGACTGTACTTCTTCCAAGATGGTTCACCACAATTCAAAGGCATCAATTCTTCTTCGGTCTTCCTCATTCATCATCCAGCTTTCACATACATATGAGGCGACTGAAAGCACCATGGCTTGGGTCAGGCGCACCTTAGTCTTCAAGGTGACATCTTTGCTTTTCAACACTTTAAAGAGGTCTTTTGCAGCAGATCTGCACGATGCAATGCGTCTTTTGATTTCTTGACTGCTGCTTCCATGGGCATTGATTGTGGATCCAAGTAAAATGAAATCCTTGACAACTTCAGTCTTTTCTCTGTTTATCACGAAGTTGCTTAGTGGTCCAGTTGTGAGGATTTTTGTTTTCTTTATGTTGAGGTGTAATCCATACTGAAGGCTGTGGTCTTTGATCTTCATCAGTAAGTACTTCAAGTCCTCTTCACCTTCAGCAAGCAAGGTTGTGTTGCCTGCATGTCACAGGTTATTAATGAGTCTTCCTCCAATCCTGATGCCCCATTCTTCATATAGTCCAGCTTCTCAGATTATTTGCTCAGAGTACAGATTGAATAAGTATGGTGAAAGGATACAACCCTGACACACACCTTTCTTGACTTTAAACCACACAGTATCCCCTTGTTCTGTTCAAACAGCTGCCTCTTGGTCTATGTACAGGTTTCTCACGATCACAATTAAGTGTTCTGAAATTCCCATTCTTCACAGTGTTACCCATAATTTGTTATGATCCACATAGTTGCATGCCTTTGCATAGTGTTTTGTTTTGTTTTTTTTACTACAGTTAATTTTCTTTTTTATTTCCTTTTCTTTAATTTTTCCTTCTGGGAAGGAAGAGGAGGCTGCAAAATGGGCCCGGGAAGAAGAAGAAGCTCAGCGTCAATTAGAGGAAAACCGGCTGCGGATGGAAGAGGAGGCGGCCCGTCTCCGGCACGAGGAGGAGGAACGGAAGAGGAAAGAGCTGGAGCTGCAGCGCCAGAAGGAGCTGATGCGGCAGAGGCAACAGCAGCAGGAGGCGCTCCGCAGATTGCAGCAGCAGCAGCAGCAGCAACAGCTGGCCCAGATGAAGGTAAAACACTGGACAGCGGCTGCAGGAGCCACTTCCTTCCAGTAGCAGTAAAACAGTGTGCTTCCTGTATTGTTAGGTATTACCGCTTTGGATTTTTCGATCAGCAACATGCTATGGTATTAGAATATACTTTGTGTTAGACAGTGGAACAAGAGAGGAATAAACCGAAGAGGCTAGGACATGAGAGCGATGCAGGCAAACCGAGACGGTTTCCCTAATCTCTGATCTGGGAAGTTTAGAAAGGCTTCCTGAAAGAGGTAACTTCTAGATGGAATCTTTAGGGAGGGGAATTAAAAAAAAAGTAAACAGGCAACTTGGGGAGTGGGGTGGGGGATGTGTATGAGAGAGGAGACAGCATGGGGTGAAGGGAGGCATGAAGGCAAGAAACACTGGTATATTTGGGGGATTTGAAAAGTAGGTTACTGTTGCTGCAGTGTGAGGTCTGCAGTAAGTGTGGGAAGGGTCCAGATCTCTAGGGGCTGCGTATACCCGGCTAAAGGATTAGGAGTTCAAGGTGTGCGGAAGGAGTGGACCTCTGAAGTACTTTCAACTAGGGCACAGCACCATCAGTTTTATAGGAGCATATCCGTCACTTTGAGACCTAACTGGAAGATGGGCTTGAAGACAACAAGCCTGAAGGTCAGCAGACCAGTTGAGGCAGGGCTGGTGGAGTCACCAGGGGAGGGAGAGGAGGGCTTGGTCTAGGTCTGATAGAGGGGCTGGAGATACCACCAGTTACTGAGTACAGGCTTTGTGTCAGCACCATGCTGACATACATCTCATTCAGTCTTCACAACCTCCCTTACAAAGCTTAGGTGTTATTACCTGTATTTGATTAGAGAAGAGAAATGTTAAGAATATAAATCACTTGCCTTGGGTCCAGCTGAGAGCTGGTAGCAGAGCCACCTGTTAGAACCCATATGTCCTTGTCTGCAGGGCCCTGGAAAGGTCGTTAAAAATAAAAGACCTACTTAAGACTGATAAGAATATGGGCATGAGGGAGGGGCAAAGGCATGGGTAGTTTCTGGATCTCTCTCTCGTCTGCCTGGGGCTCTCCACTCTGTCCAGTTTTGGCCTCTTGTCCTCCTGTAAAGACTGTAGAGATGTTTTATAAACATTCTGAATGAAGATAAAGAACGTGAGATGGTTAGGAGGAATTGTGAAAGGCTTTTGTGAGAAGAAACAAGCAGTATTTTTGAAAATAGTTTTATTGAGATATAATTCATTTCCTATACAGCCCACCCAGTTAACGTGTCCATACAAGTTGAACAGCCTTTCTAGTGTAGTAACAGACAAGTGCAGCCATCACGACAGTCGGTTTTTGAACAGTTTCATCCCTCTACTTCTGCCTGTGCCCCTCAGCCCTAAGCAGCCACTAATCAGCCTTCTGTCTCTACATTTCTATATTTTTATGTCCTATTCTCGATATTTCATATGAATGGATCCTCTAATACATGGTCTTTTACAACTGCCTTCTTTCACTCAGCATAATGTTTTCAAGTTCATCCATGTCACTACTTCATTCATTTTTATGACCAAAATAGTATTCCATTGTATGGATAGACCACGTTTTGTTTATCCATTCATCAGACGATGGACATGTAGGTTGTTTCTGTTTTTTGACTGTTAGTAAATAATGTTACTGTAAACATTCATGGACACATTTCTGGGCTGTGTGCATGCCTTCATTTCTTTAGGTGTATAGCTAGGAATCCAGTGGCTGGGTCACACGGTAACTCTGTTTCACCATTTGAGGAACTAACAGACTGGTGTCATTTTACTTTCCCACTGACAGTGTATGAGATTACAGTTTCTCCACATTCTTGCCAGCACTTATCATCTGACGTTTTGATTATGGCTGTGCTGGTGGTGTGAAGTTGTACGTCATGGTTTTGAATTGCATTTCCCTGATGACTGGTGATGTTGCGCATCTTTTTATGTGCTCCTTGGCCATTTGTAGATCTTCTTTGGAGAAAGAGTCAGATCCTTTGCCCATTTCTTTTTAATTGGATTATTTGTATTTTTTTGGAGTTTTAAGAGTTCTGTATGTATTTAAGATACAAGCCCCTTATCAGATATGATTTTCAAATATTTTCTCCCATTCTATGAGTTGTCTTTTTCTTTTTTGGGTAGTGTCATTTGATGGAGAAGAGTTTTTAATTTTGAGAAGTCCAGCTTACCTATTTTTCTTTTGTTGCTAGTACGTTAGGTGTCATATCTAAGAATCCATTGACAAGTCTGAGGTCACGAAGATTTACTCTTAAGTTTTCTTCTAAGAGTTTCATGGTTTTAGAGCTATTTTACAATATCAATGAAAATTTAAATGGTTTATGCCCTTTGTCCCATCAGTTCCACTCTTAGAGATTTCTGCTGTAGATCCATTCTTTTGGGGACTGGTTAGTATTTTATTTGTTTTAATCCATGCACATGTATTATTTTTATTAAACAAACTTTAAAAGGCTTTAGGGTGGTCTTTTTTTTCTTTTTCTTTTTCTTTTTAAAGAGCCATAAGACATTTCAAAATTGGAGCATATCTTGTTCTGGCCAAGAAGAACAAGGATTCCCTTAGAATAACTGAAAAACCCAAACCAAACCCACTGCCGTCAAGTTGATTCCGACTCTTAACGACCCTATAGGACAGAGTAGAACTGCCCCATAGGGTTTCCAAGCCTGTAAATCTTTATGGAAGCAGACTGCCACATCTTTTTCCTGCGGAGCAGCTGGTGGGTTCTAACCGCTGACCTTTCAGTTAGCAGCTGACCACTTAACCACTGCGCCCACAGGTCTTCTTTATAACAATTAGGCTTTTGAAAACATTAACATGTTCAGGACCCAAACTAGGTATACTCTACTTTAGTCAGTAATGTGAAGGGACAGGGAACACAGCGTTCTTGATTAAAAACAACTTAGTGCTGATGACTAGAAGCTACAGCCTGGTTAGCAGTGACCCCTTCTCATAAAATCCTGAGAGAACAATGCCTGCATTTCCTGTAGCTGCTGCCTCAGCGGTCCCTTCAGGTAGCTCATCCTTAACCCTTTCACTGGACAGTAGCAGATCATGCTCCTTGTGCCTTGTTGGATTAAAAATCTCCAGGCCAGTTTATTGATTCTTTTGTTTCCACCTTTCACTTTATTAGATGTATATGTCAGTACCAAATGTTACATATTTGCAGTCTTAAAATGGTAGGTCAAATACATGTGTGTATATGTTATCCTAAAGTGTTTAAAATTATCTTAGGTTTGGGGCAGTGGCAAAAAATTAAGGAAGCGAAGAAGCAAATTGACTGAGAGAGTCTAATGTAGAAGGAAATTTGAATTGAATGTTGTAAATAAGAGTTGAGGGAGATGGAATGTTCTGGCTGTACATAATGCATTATTGCTTCTTTGTTTCCCGTCCACCGTCCCTCATGAACTCTTTCCCTTTTTCATTAGCTTCCCTCTTCTTCAACGTGGGGCCAGCAGTCCAACACAACAGCATGTCAGTCCCAGGCAACGCTGTCATTGGCCGAAATCCAAAAACTAGAAGAAGAAAGAGAACGGCAGCTTCGAGAAGAGGTAAATTTAAAAAGTTTTAAAAAGTGAAACAGTATTCCAGAATAGGTAGTGTGCATAATTGGTTAGTAGTTACTGAAGAAAATTATTATTGTCAGAATTGTCAAGAGTTTGGATGTTCATTATTAAACTCTTTAAAGTCTGCAATCTGGTCACTCTAACAAATGTTAGCAGCTGTCGCATAGGAGTCTGACTCGTGACAACCCCATGAACAGTGGAACAAAAAGCTGCCCAATCCTGCGCTGTTCCCACGATTAGTTGTGAATTGGACCGTTGTGATCCATAGGGTTTCACTGGCTGATTTTTGCACGTAGAATGCCAGGCCTTTCTTCCTACTCTGTCTTAGTCTAAAAGCTCTGCTGAAACCTGTTCAGCATCATGGCAACATGAAAACCACCAGTAAAAATGGTTATGTGCATGAGCTACATTGATTGGGAATTGAACCTCCGTCTCCCACATAGAGCTCTGGTGGCACAGTTGTTAAAGTGCTTGGGTGCTAACCGAAAGATCGGTGGTTCAAACCCACCAGCCACTCTGCAGGAGAAAGACATGACAGTCTGCTTCCATAAATATTAGCCTTGGAAACCCTATCGGGTAGTTCTACTCTGTCCTATAGGGTTGCTTTGAGTCAGAATTGACTTGGTGCAGTGGGTTTGGTTTTGGTTCTCCCACATGGAAGGTGACAGTTCTACCAGTGAGCCAGGACTGTCCCCCTTTGACAAATACGAAGGATCCAATAGGAATAACATTAAGATTGGGTTCCATAAATGTTCAGTTACCTTAAACATATTACCATAGTTCTTGAGAATAGCTCATAAATAAATTTACGTGGGTCATTCAAAATTGGGGGTCAGTTTTGTACAAATAATCCTTTGTAAATTTGGTGTTTAGAATGCAGAATACATTTTTCTCTAGAAGGTACTGAGTTTCCTGACTAACCTAGAAAAACATAATATGACAGAAATAAAGTACCTCTGCTTTTAAGTCTCTATTCTGTAGTCCATATTAGGATAGGAAGGATACAAAAGAGTGAAAGATGGAAATAAAAAGCAAGAGCAGAGTTCTTAACAGGAGAAAATGACTAAGTGAAGCGGTTTGGATGAGCGTGCCATTAGGTGCTGCATTCATTCGTTCATTCAGTACGTATTTATTGAGTACGTACTTGGTTATAGTCTGGGGATATAGCTGAGACTAAAGCAGACTAAATCCCCACAAGTCTGTTGGTTTGTCATACTCTGGGGCCTGCGTGTTTCTGTGATGCTGGAAGCTGTGCCACTGGTGTTGAGATACCAGCAGGGTCACCCATGGCAGACAGGTTTCAGCTGAGCTTCCAGACTAAAACTAAGAAGAAGGGCCCAGTGGTCTACTTCTGAAAAGAAATAGCCAGTGAAAACCTTATGAACAGCAGTGGAACATTGTCTGATACAGTGCCGGAAGATGAGCCTCTCAGGTTAGAAGGCCCTCAAAAGATGACGGGGGAAGAGCTGCCTCCTCAAAGTAGAGTCAACCTTAATGACGTGGATGGAGTCAAGCTTTCGGGACCTTCATTTGCTGATATGGCACGACTCAAAATGAGAAGAAATAGCTGCAAACATCCGTTAATAATAGGAACATGGAATGTACAAAGTATGAATCTAGGAAAATTGGAAATCGACAAAAATGAAAGGAAATGCAAAAACATTGATATCCGATGCATTAGTGAGCTGAAATGGACTGGTAGTGGCCATTTTGAATTGGACGGTCATAGGGTCTGCTATACCAGGAATGACAGATTGAAGAGGAATGGCGTTGCATTCATCATCAAAAAGAACATTTCAAGATCTATCCTGAAGTGCAATGCTGTCAGTGATAGGATAATATCCATACACCTACAAGGAAGACCAGTTAGTAGGACTATTATTCAAATTTATGTACCAACCACTAAAGCCAAAGATGAAGAAATTGAAGATTTTTACCAACTTCTGCAGTCTGAAATTGATTGAACATGCAGTCAGGATGCATTGATAATTACTGGTGATTGGAATGTAAAAGTTGGAGACGAAGAAGGATTGGTAGTTGGAAAATATGGCTTTGGTGATAGAAATGATGCTGGAGATTGCATGATAGAATTTTGCAAGACCAATGACTTCTTCATTGCAAATACCTTTTTTCAACAGCATAAATGATGACTGTACACGTGGACCTCGTCAGATGGGCTACACAGGAATCAGATTGACTACATCTGTGGAAAGAAATGATAGAAAAGCTCAGTATCATCAGTCAGAACAAGGCCAGGGGCTGACTGTGGAACAGACCATCAGTTACTCATATGCAAGTTCAAGTTGAAACTGAAGAAAATTAGAACAAGTCCAAGACAGCAAAGTATGACCTTGAGCATATCCCACCTGAATTTAGAGACCATCTCAAGAATAGATCTGATGCATTGAACACTGATGACCGAGGACCAGACGAGTTGTGGAATGACATCAAGGACATCATACATGAAGAAAGCAAGAGGTCATTAAAAAGACAGGAAAGAAAGAAAAGACCAAAATGGATGTCAGAAGAGACTCTGAAATTTACTGTTGAACATCGAGTAGCTAAAGTGAAAAGAAGAAATGATGAAGTCAAAGAGCTGAACAGAAGATTTCAAAGGGCGGCTTGAGAAGACGGAGTAAAGTATTATAATGACATGTGTAAAGACCTGGAGTTAGAAAACCAAAAGGGAAGAACATGCTCAGCATTTCTCAAGGTGAAAGAACTAAAGAAAAAATTCAAGCCTTGAGTTGCAATATTGAAGTATTCTACTGGAAAATATTAAATGACGCAGGAAGCATTAAAAGAAGATAGAAGGGGTACACAGAACCACTATACCAAAAAGAATTGATCGACGTTCAGCCATTTCAGGAAGCAGCGTATGATAAGAAACCGATGGTACTGAAGGAAGAAGTCCAAGCTGCACTGAAGGCAGTGGCAAAAAACAAGGCTTCAGGAATCGACGGAATACCAACTGAGATGTTTCAACAAGCAGATGCAGCACTGGAAGTAGTCACTTGTCTATGCCAAGAAATTTGGAAGAGAGCTACCAACTGACTGGAAGAGATCCAAATTTATGCCTATTCCCAAGAAAGGTTATCCAACCAAATGTGGAAATTATCGAACAATATCGTTAATATCACACACAGATAAAATTTTGCTGAAGATCATTCAGAAGCAGCTGTAGCAGTATATTGACAGGGAACTACCAGAAATTTAAGCCAGATTCAGAAGAGGACATGGAACCAGGGATATCACTGCTGATGTCAGATGGATCCTGACTGAAAGCACAGAATACCAGGAAGATGTTTACCTGTGTTTTATTGACTATGCAAAGACTTTATTGACCATGCAAAGACATTCCACTTGTGGATCATAACAAATTATGGATAAAATTGCAAACAATAGGAATTCCAGAACACTTAATTGTGCTCAAGAGGAACCTGTACATAGATCAAGAGGCAGTCGTTCGAACAGAGCAAGGGGATACTATGTGGTTTAAAGTCATGAAAGGTGTGCGTCCGGATTGTATCCTTTCACCGTACGTGTTCAGTTTGTATGCTGAGCAAATGATCCGAGAAGCTGGACTATATGAAGAAGAATGGGGCATTAGGATTGGAGGAAGACTCATTAATAAGGTGCAACATGCAGATGACACAACCTTGCATGCTGAAATTGAAGAGGACTTGAAGCACTTACTGATGAAGATCAGAGACTACAGCCTTTAGTATGGATTACACCTCAACAAAGAAAACAGAAATTCTCACAACTGGACCAGTAAGCAACATCATGGAAAACGGAGAAAAGATTGAAGTTGTCAAGGATTTCATTTTACTTGGATCCACAATCAACACCGTGGAAGCAACAGTCAGGAAATCAAAAGACGCATTGCATTAGACAGATCTGCTGCAAAAGATCTCTTTAAAGTGTTGAAAAAGCAAAGATGTCACCTTGAAGACTTGAGGTGTGCCTGACCCAAGCCATGGTGTCTTCAGTCACCTCACACGTACGTGAAAGCTGGACGATGAATACGGAAGACCGAAGAGGAATTGACGCCTTTGGATTGTGGTGTTGGTGAAGAGTATTGAATATACCATGGACTGCCAAAAGAACAAACAAATCTGTTTTGGAAGAAGTACAACCAGAATGCTTCTTAGAAGCGAGGATGGTGAGACTACGTCTCACATACTTTGGACATGTTATTAGGAGGGACCAGTCCCTGGAGAGGGATATCATGCTTGGTAAAGCAGAGGGCCAGCGAGAAAGAGGAAGACCCTCGCTGAGATGGATTGACGCAGTGGCTGCAACAATGGGCTCAAGCATAGCAATGACTGAGGATGACGCAGGACTGGCAGTGTTTCTTTCTGTTGTACGTAGGGTTGCTGTGAGTCAGAACCAACTTGACAGCACCTAACAACAACAACAAAGCAGACAAAAATCTCTGCCTTCATAAAGCTTACACTCTAATTTAGGGGTGATGGTCAATAAGAAGTAGGTAAAACATAGGCACAGCAGGAGGTAGTAAGCCCCAGTGAGAGAGAGAGAGAGGGCGTAGGGAGAGTGTGTAGGGATTTGGGATGGTAGTAACTGTCCATTTTTAAGCAATGTGGTCTGGGAGGGCTTCTGTGAAAAGGTGACCTCATGTAGCAAAGACCTAAAGAAAGTGCTTACATGATGTGATTGGAGGCAGAGCAGTCAGTCAGAGAACGCATGTCGTCGTTTTTGGACTGGATGGCACAGTTCACTGAAACTGAAGGGCTATGAGACACAGATGTGCTTGACCACAGAAAGAATGTGCTTTAACACGTGGTGTGCCTCACCACGTGATGTGGTTCACCAGTGGGCTAAAAAGTTTCTTCACCTTGAAAATCACCTTACTCCCTACCTTCTGAAAAAAAAGAGACTGAACTTTCTCTACAATTATTAGTCTCTGAAAGGTTATCAACGAACAGATGCAGAGCAGAGTGTCTCTTCTCCTTTCAAGGCTAGAAATTGTTCTAATAATTTTGGTCTCTGCTAAACCTCCCCCCCCCCCAAAAAAAAAAAATAGTGGGAATCACAGGTCTTGTTCATCTTTTTATTAGCTTCTTTGGTGAGAAGTTAATAATTCCTCTTATCTGTTTTCCTTTGATTGATTTTCTCTGAACCTCTAAGTCTTCGCACACCCTTCGAAAGCTCTGAAAATGTCACTCAGTACCCGTTTCCCACATTGGGGAACCTAAGATAATTTCATTGCATTTGTTCCCTGGAGACATCTTCCCAGAACCCTCTACCCTGTTTCGGTCTGGAAGTTCTCAACTTGCTGCCCAGCTAGCGTTCTGTCTTCCTAGAGTGCTTGTCACTTGCAGGTTGCCCCCTGGACTGATACTGAGTTTTCCATCTTTTCTCTGTCTTTTTATCTTTCTTAGTAGAACTTTGCCTCAATTTTAGCTTTCTAGCTTTCTGTTGAACTTTTAATGCGTGCTATCTTATTTCAAACTCCCCTGAGGCTTATTTTCTCTAAATGTTTCTTTTTATATATAGCCTATTATTCATTGACTGCACCATCTGACCTCTAAGGATATTTATTACTGACAGCTTTTTTTTATTTTTATTTTTTATTGTACTTCAGGTGAAGGTTTACAGAACAAATAGTTTCTCATTAAACAGTAGTATACATACTGTTTTATGACATGGGTTAACAACCCCACAACATGTCAACCCTCTCCCTTCTCAACCTTTTTTTTTTTTTTTTTTTTTTTTTGGTGAAAATATACATAGCCAAAGATACACCGTTTCAAAAATTTGTACATGCACAGTTCAGTGACATCGACTATGCTCTTCCAGTTGTGCTGCTATTCTCACTTTAGATGAAGGCTTACAGAACAAAACAGTTTCTCATTGAACAGTTAGTACACATGTTGCCCTATGACAATGGTTAACGACCTCATTACACATCAACACTGTCCTTACTCAACCTTGGGTTCCCTATCACCAGCTTTCCTGTCCCCTTCTGCCCCTTGTCCCTGGATGGCTGTGCCTCATTAGTCCCGTTTCGTTTTATGGGGCTGTCCAATCCCCGGCTGAACAGTGAACCTCGGAAGTGACTTCACCACTGAGCTAAAAGGACGTCTGGGGGCCATACTCCTGGGATTTCTCCAGTCTCCTTTATACTGACAGCTTTTTTAAAGGCTAGTTCCTACTTTCCCTTGTCTTGTTTCTGACTACATTGAACTTTGTTTGTTTTGGTCTTTGGCTTTCCTCTGAGAAGCGCACATCAAATGCTTGGTGATCCTGGGCTGTTTGTTCATGTTGGAGAGTAAGGCCCTACAAAGCTGCTTGGAGTTCTGGTATATAGGACACTTTGGTGGACTTCACTTCCCCTCATCTCTTGGTGTTATGCTTTTTCACTCTTGAGCTGGTCAGCTTTGCCATAGAATAAATCCTCCAGTCTCTTGCCTGGGAAGTAAGCCCGTGGAGGAAGAAGGGTCTCTCTGGTTCAGCCTCTCCAAAGAGGAATTATTCAGTTTTCTTCTGGGGTAAGGGAAGGACACTCACCCCACTGCGTAGGGTGGGGGAAGCAGTCTGTTTCTTCTGAAAGACTTTCAGCCAAGGTTAGCCTTACCAGGACTCCTCTGTTTGAAATACCCGGCACCTCCAATTCTTGAGCTTTCTGTACAAATCAGCCTGTTTCTGAGCTTCCTTTACTTAGGTGTCAATTTATTGGGTCTGTTACATTGGTTATCATTATGTATCTGACTACCAGTGGTTAAGAACTTGACTACTGACCAAAAGGTCGGCAGTTCAAGTCCACCAGCCGCTCCTTGGAAACTCCGTGGGGCAGTTCTGCTCTGCCCCTACAGGATCGCTGTGAGTCAGAATCGACTCGATGGCAACAAGTTTGGTTTGTTTTGGTTTTACCAGCTTTTAAATCTGTCTTGTTCTCTCCGTCCATTACTGTGGGCTTATGTTTTTTAAAAACATGTATTTTCTGTCATTTTGGCAGGGCTTTAGGGAGTTTCATTTCTGTGTTTAACCAAAAGCTGCACTTAATTTTTAAGAAGCAAATCTCTTCTTCCCCTCTTAGTACCTCAGACAGTTTACATCTGTATTTGCAGAAAAATAATTAACTTAGTTGAGTATTTTATTTAATTTGTGTAGCTACTATGTATTTGCACTCCTTTTAGCATACTGGACATTTGTAACAATTGTCTAAAAATGGGAATCCTGAGCTAGCTTTTGTTTTTGCTGAGTAGCAAAGGCGCCAGCAGAGGGAGCTGATGAAAGCACTCCAGCAGCAGCAGCAGCAACAGCAGCAGAAACTTTCAGGTTGGGGCAATGTCAGCAAGCCTGCAGGCACCACAAAATCCCTCCTGGAGATACAGCAGGAAGAGGTCAGGCAGATGCAGAAGCAGCAGCAGCAGCAGCAACACCAGCAGCAGCAGCAGCCAAATAGAGCCCGGAATAACACGGTGGGTCCGTCTTCCTAAGCCGTCAGCCCATGGACTGGGCTCACTAGTTATCGTTTCTGACTGTTGTAAGCTCTTTGTTTTTAAATCTTCTAATATTGTTAAATGGTGTTAAATATTGTCATCTGTTTATTTAACAGCATTCCAACCTGCACACCAGCATTGGGAATTCTGTTTGGGGCTCTATAAATACAGGTCCCCCGAACCAGTGGGCCTCTGACCTCGTCAGTAGTATCTGGAGTAATGCGGACACGAAAAACTCCAACATGGGATTCTGGGATGATGCAGTGAAAGAGGTGGGACCTAGGAATTCAACAAATAAAAATAAAAACAACGCCAGTCTCAGGTAGGGCTCAGAATGGTCAAGCTATTGCTCCTTGGTGTGCGGTGTTTTGTTTGTTTGGGGGAGGGGTGCCAAGGAAGGTAGTTTATAGTTTATATGTATTGTTTTCACCTGTGTCCAAGCATATGCGGTCATAATTATGATGGTTGCTTTCTTCTCCATAGAAACACATTTGTATTATTTCTAGAGCTTCCTTCTGAGAGTGTTTCTACTGCTGAGCATTTAGTCTGTTGCCTGCCACATGGTAACCACTTGCTAGATACTAGGAGTAGTGTAATATTTCTGTTGTTGAACATTTCTCTAAAGTATTTTCTAGATCTTAGCATTGTTTCTTTTATGTTACTTACACTATAGGGTCGCTATGAGTCAGATTTGACTTGGTGGCAATGAGTTTGGTTTTGGTTTTATACTATAATGAGTATCATAAACAGCTCTGTAATGACCTGAAATCTATTTATTTTTACAATGAAATAGTTACATATCATCTTCACCTTTCTTTTCTCAGTAGACAGTGTTGCTGAAAGCATAGGTTTTGGTGTTAAATGCATGAGTTGAGATCCCAGCACTACCACTTGTTAGCTGTGTGACCTTGGGCAGGACAGGACCTTTTGGAGCCTCAGTTCCCTTATCTGTCTGATGAAGATGATAATGACACCTTAACTGGTGGTAACTGGGTGTAACTGTGAAGATTACGTGAATACTCGTGAAGTGCCTGGCACATAGTAACTGCTTAATAAATGGCAGTGGTGTCAGATTGCTTCTTCTCGAACGAGGGTCTGGTACATTAGGAATTAGACAACAAGCGCCTGCCAGCTTATTGAGTGTTTTTGCCCGGACACTCTTGCTCTAGGCCTTTGAGCTCCTTAAGAAGTGTTAGTGCCATTTTACAGATGAGGAAACTGAGGCTCAGCCAAAGTTAAGCAGCTTACCTAAGGGCACATAGGAGGAGTGTAGTAATTTCCTCTGAATAGAAGCTCTGCAATCACAAACTAGAGGGTATTAGCTGACGCTAGATTTTTAAGGCGATAGTGAGTATTCTTCTCCCTCCCCCAAAATCCAAATATTTGTGGTTTTTTTTCTTCTTTGGAGCCAAGCATTTATTGGGTTACTGGATTGGGTACTGTTGCCAGGACATTATCTATTTATGGTGTTGTAGTATAATTATAATAGTAACAGTTTCTGGGAATATAATATTGCCCTGTTGTTTTGCTTCAGTAAATCCATAGGTGTGTCTAACCGGCAAAATAAGAAAGTGGAAGAAGAAGAAAAGTTACTGAAGCTCTTTCAGGGAGTAAATAAAGTCCAGGATGGATTCACCCAATGGTGTGAACAGATGCTGCATGCCCTCAACACGGCAAATAACCTGGATGGTAAGAATCGAGAGGGAACCCAGCATGTGGAACAGCAGAGGCAGAACCCACAGAGAGGCTGGCAGATTGGAACCATGAGCCAAAACTCACGAGGTGAAATCTAGCGGAGGTCAAGTCCTGCACCTACTATAAGAATTTGAGAGTTTTAGTAGTATTACTTGTGGGAAACGTCCTGTGATACCAAGCTCAAATAGTTTGTCGGTGGTTGTCAAAAAGTAAATGCCATCTCAAGCTGCCTTAGTGATGTGCAGGACAGAGGAGGTCCTCGTTCCACACTCCCCACTTTATGAGGGGCAGTGCCATTGCCAGCTGGATTAAGTCCAAAGTAAGGCCACTGTTATGGTGGGGGAAAAGGTCAACCTGGAAGAGAAGGGTGAGGTGATTTGACATTGCGTCCTTCCTGCCTTTTTTGAGGGTGGGTGGGTCATGTGACAGAGCAGGTAGGCTTCTTTATGTAGGATAAAGCTAGGACCGGTGTGTGGAAGCGAAAAGGTTTCAGCACAAGTTGAAGAAGAACTTGCTAGTAGTTAGCTGTTCATGAAGAGAATCCTCTGCCGTAGATGGAAGTAAGCCCACCCCCTCTGAGTGTCTGGACAGAGACTGGTCAGGCGTTTTGTGGAAAACATTCCCACAACTGATAGATCGAGTGGAGCCAGTCTACCTCTGATGTCTTATCTGAAATCAAACCAGTTGCCATCGAGTTGATTCCAACTCATGGCAACCCTTGTGTGTCAGAGTAGAACTGTGGTCCGTAGGGCTTTCAAGGACTGATTTTTTGGAGGTAGATTGCTAGACCTTTCTTCTGAGACACCTCAGGGTGGACTTGAACCACCAACCTTTCGGTCAACAGCTGAGCACATTAACTGTTTGCACCACCCAGGGACCCCTGTCTAAAATCAACAATCTGTTAAAAACGGAGCACTAAAGGAACTGAAGGGCTCCATTGCATCGTTGTAACAGAACATCTAGTGGTCTAGAGCCTGCAGAGAAAACTAGTAAATAAAGCAGTGACTGCCATCCGTTAAGCACCTACCGTGTGCTAGGCACTTTTCTCTAGGGCTTAACATACGTTACCCATTTATCTTTGCAGTGATTTTATAAGGTACCTTTACAATATAGGTGATATTATCTCCATTTTATAAATTAGGAAACTGAGGCTCAGAATGATTAAGTAACTCATCAGGGTCACACAGCCAGCAGATTTCAGAGTCAAGTTTTAAACCCAGGTCTATCTAACTCTCATACTCATGCTTTTCTCCTTTACCACCCTGCTGGTGTGTTCCGTGTGATTTCTCTCTAAAAGTATACTATCTCAGTGGATTAAAAGCTCCAGGAGGAGATGGCTGCATCTTTAATCTCTGTTGTGGTGCCTGGCACACATCAGAGCGCTGAATAAATATTAATTGAATTTAAGGAAAGAAAGCTTGAATCCCAGATCACTTCAGTCTTAGGCAAGCAGCTGTTTCAGTCAGCTAACAGTTGGTGAAGTTAGACCTGTGTGACATGCCTTTGTGTGACCCCGTGCTGTTTCAGATAATTTTGGACGTTGCAGTGGTAGCGTTTTTTCCATCCCTAGATTAAGGAGCACTGGCAGTAGCTGTGCATACCTTTCAAGTTTGTCGTTAACTTCTGTGTTAGGCGTGACAGTCTATTGAAAACGGACACTGTTTTTGTACGTGGTACTTCATTATTTCATCGTTACTGTTTATGTCTTCTCCCCTCCCGTATTGCAGTTCCCACGTTTGTTTCTTTCCTGAAAGAAGTAGAATCTCCTTATGAAGTCCATGATTATATCAGGGCCTATTTAGGAGATACTTCTGAGGCCAAGGAGTTTGCCAAGCAGTTCCTCGAGCGCCGTGCCAAACAGAAAGCCAGCCAGCAGCGTCAGCAGCAGCAGCAGCAGCAGCAGCAGCAGCAGCAGCAACAGCAACAGCAACAGCAACAGCAACAGCCGCAGCCGCAGCCGCAGCCGCAGCAGCCGCAGGTATGAGGGCGACATGAGGGCACAGGCTCCGTGAGTGAGTGAGTCTTAATACCTGTAAATGCTGAGAGACCAGAGAAATGCAAACTAAAATAGAGGCCACTTTTGTACATAAAATAATCAAAGCTTTCAAAAATTGGTAGACTTGACATTCTCAAATTATACGTCTAGAGACCTTTGTGAATTTTCCAAATACCAGATAAAACCATTCATTCTGTACTAGGCACACCAGCCTCATTTTTCTTGATTCCTACGTGTGCCTTAATCGGATCACAAATTCCACCATGCCCCAGACCCATACATTTGGCTCTGAATAGTTAACACATACACGTTAACCCTCTGGTGCTCAGGGCCTGCTGCCCCCTGGGACCGGCACCCCCACAGCGTGTCCTGCACTTGGTGTGGTGCTGACGGGGGTGTAAAAAGGTCCATGTTTTCTGAAAGACAGGTTGGCAGGGTTCTTGGAGAGGTTTAAGAATATTCATATCCTTTAATCTCGTGCTTTCTCTGTTAGAAGTAATCAATATTTGGTATAGACTTCTTGAGGATATGTATGATACAGTGACGGTTAAACCGTTTAAAATCCACTTGAGCGGATGGGCTAACTGGGATAAATTAAAGGAAAGTGGAAGATGAAAACACCGTCACAGCACGAGGAAAAATACTTTAAGCATCAAAGGAGAAGACATCCTATAGCAATACGGAAGGCTCTGCATGTGCGAAGGGTGGCCGCCTCTGTGTGCAGGGATAGGAGGTGGAGGATCAGTGTACACACACAGCCAGGCTTGTTCTTCTTTGGTGCTTTTTCTACTCCTTCATCCCCTCCCCACTACCACCACTTCTGCCCTCAGCTGGCTCATTGAAGCTGATTTCAATTTAAAATGAATTGCTGTAATAAGACCAAGTAGATGTGAATGGCTGGTAGACTATTTCATAGTTTAACTTTTTTGCTGTCTGGTTGGTAGGAAGTGTAAGGATAATATTTTGGGGCCAGGTCCCTTCAGGTATTGCTGGTAGGAATAAAGTACACAACATTCGCCTTGTTTGGTAACATGCTACCGGCTGGTCTACAGCCTTGTCCTCTCTGTCCTGGGGCCTCAGAGAACAAAGGAACCCTTGGCTTCGGGGGAGGTGAGGCGTGCAAAGTGCCAGAGTGCAGAGGTCTGTTCACAACTCCTTGCCGTGTGTTTAGTCTCCTAGCAAATGGTACAGACTCCACATACACTAGAGAAGTCTTGACAGTTACCAGGACAGGCCTTGGGAACACGCAGGGCTTGATGAGATGTCACACATGAAGGAAAATGGTGGCTCAGTGGCCTGCTCTTGATTTCATGATTTCCAGAGCCATGCTAGGCTTCCTGTTTTTAAATTCCCACTTGGTAATGGGAGGGTAAAACAACCCTCTCCAAGGGTGGGTAAACCTGCACCCACTGTGTAATCTCCCTTGTGCCATCTTGTCTCACAGGACTCTGTGTGGGGGATGAACCACAGTACACTCCATTCAGTATTTCAGACCAATCAGAGCAACAACCAACAGTCCAACTTTGAGGCTGTACAAAGTGGCAAGAAGAAGAAAAAGCAGAAGATGGTCCGAGCAGATCCCAGTTTATTAGGTGAGCACAGGCCTGAAGTCTCCCTGGGTGCTGGGTGTGTGCGGGTGATGGCAGTTACCATACATGAGTTGCCATGTGGAATGCTTTTCAACCGACTCCAAGTAAGTAGCCAGTATTTACTAGGCATCTCAGGGCAAGGCTGCACCTCATTTGCTGTAGGAATAAGAACAGTCATCGTAACGTAGTACATGGGGCTTTCAACTCTAAAGCATCGTTTCATCTTAAATGTGAATTTCCCCAGAGGACCTTTCAGTTTAGTTGGAAAATAATACCAATGGAGAGCAGTAAAAATCATTTAAAAACGTAAAGCTCATTTGTGTGGGAGCAGACTGTAAATCTGATCAGATGTTCTGAAAAGAGAACCAGTCTTTGTGAATGTCCACTCTGTGTGTCATGGGATTCTCAGAATGACTCTGCTTGAGAGGTGGTGTCCCAGGTTTATAGACAATCAGGCCAGGGCTTAGAGGTTGTAGACCATTTCCCCGGAGCCCACAGGAGCTGCTGAGCCCTCAGAAGCAGGCCTGTTTTCTTTCCACTGTTCTGTGTTACCCGCAGCTATTCTTGGCCCTGACCGAAGACCACTGTCTTCATACAAAACAGCTTCATGGAAAGATTGACACCTGAATTAGGGCTTTGAAAGACTGGCAGGGAGGATGGGGAATGGTATTTTAGGAATAATAAACCGCACAGGCAAAGCTGATGGACTGCCTGTGTTTCTTAAATTGGCCTAACAGCCTCTCAGAGACAGATGAAATTAAAATTCTTCTCTATTTATGAATGTGAAAAACCACAGGCTATAATAAAACCACGGTGTCTGGAATAGAATGGGCATATTGGCAAAGAGGCAGTTTGGGATGTTGGCCAGTCAGCTTATTGGCAAGCTGCAGTAGACTAGGTGAAAGATACTGGTGGCCTGGGGTAGGGTTTTGGTACTGGGGATGGAGGGCAATTAGATGGATTTTAGAAATTCAGGGGTTAGAGTCAGCTGGACAAGGAGAGCAGAAAGGTCTCTGGCTTGAGCAGCAGGATGGATGGTGTTCCCATTGCTGAAATGGGAACACTGGACAGTGGAGCAGGCGTGTGGGGTTAGGACACTGTGTTGAAGTGTTGAGGCAATGGAGTTTGAAATGCCCATGAGACCTGAAATGGAGATACCTCAGGAAAGGTTCGAGAGCCCGCACAGCAGGTGGACTGTAGCCTGTTCGGCAGTTGGCAGGATCCATAAGTTCATTCAGCTGTTCCTGTGCTGGAAAAAAAACAAAATAATAGGATCAGAGGCCTAACTTGGAGGACTGCCCTTTGGCATTCGTGCCAGAAGCTGGGTTTGGATACACAGAGATTGGTGAACTTCTGTTTTCTTCTTCTGCCTGCCTTAAAAGTTAGTGTTGATTGAGGATCGATGGGACTGTTCAGAATTTTATGCAATTTTGATACAAATGTATGCACATAGATGGAGAAGCATTCCTTAAATTCTAGCTGTGGGTCCTAGTGAAGAAGCCCCTGCCAGTTACTTACTTGAGGAGTTTGAGGGTGGACTGTCAGGGGAAGGTTCCTCTGACAGTGAGGTGAAGCCCGTTGGGACTTAGTCTGTGTCTGACGCCACCTCCTATCATAGACCTAGAAGGAGAGGGACTTGAAAGCCCCTTCAAGAGTCATTGTACATATAGAGTTAAAGGAATCCACGTGTCTTGAATGGAAGAAAAAATTAAAAATACAAGTAAAACCATTCAACAAACCATTGAGGAAAGTCACTTGGATGGGCTCTTACATGGACCATTTTATGAAGATTTCTGTTCAACTAATCCTCGCTCTGGAAATTCCTCTGATAATTGCTAATTTCTGTCCTTTACCTCCTCATTTCTGTTTATTATTTTTTATTAATATGTGCCTTATCTATTTACAGATTAATAAATATCTCCCAGTCACAAGTTCCCCATGGAAAGAATGGGAGAATTTCTTATTTGATCTGAAAGCATCCATTGAAAGTCATTTTAGACCTTTGCTTCTAAAACAAACCAGCAGAGGGAGCTCCAGCCTCATCTTAATTGTCAGTATCCTCCATTGTGCTCTTGTGTCTTCCTCTAGTTTAAAGAGCAATCAGGTGGCTGTTGTGAACCAGCCACACAATACAGTTCTCCCCCCAGTTATTCTTGCCTTATGAGAACAGTCTTTCAGATAGACCTTAAATCGTGTGGGTGAGGGAGAGTCTGTTGCTCTGGTCTTTGGAGTTAGGCAGCTGGGCTTGCCTGCTTGTTTGTATGGCCTTGGGTTTCGTGGTCTCCCAGAGCTTTCCCTTCTGTCAAGCGGTGGGGGGTGTTGGTGGATTCCCACATTACTGTTGTTCTAATGACGGTTAGAAGAGAATGGGTCTGCCAAAACCCTAGCCCAGTAATCAACATATTATAATTATGAATAATTGTTAGCTTTTTTTTTTTTTTTGCCCCAGGCTTTTCCTCCCTTTTTTGCCCCAGGCTTCTCCTTCCTGTCTTTTCATGATAAAATTAATTTAGTTTTTAAAAAATTATATAACAATAATGTAGCTCATTGTTTCTGTTACATTTCATTTATTATTCTTTGAAGTAATATGCGAAGTCAAAGAAAAACCTGCCTCAGAATAGAGTACTAGCTCATTTCATAGCCTCTTAGCTCTTTAGGTTCTTGTACTTACCTAACTCAACCGTTATTTAAGAAATAGGAATGCTACGCCTTTTAGTATTTTCAAAGGAAACAAGTCTTGTGGGTTACGGGAACACCCTTGAAGGGGTGGCACTCAGGATGGGGTTTGGGATCCTAGCCTTTCTGTGTATTAGGCCTTGCAGGGAGCTTGTACCACAGCTTCCCTGGTTCATAAATAGGCATCTTTATTTTTTTCAAATCATAATATTTTTGAGTCAAGGATGCAGTTTAAGCTCTGTTTATTATGTAAGGCATTTTTTGTTTATTATTGGTACATTTCAAATGTGTATTTGTTTGAAAACTTGACCATTAAAGAACAAAAAGGAGGGGAGCGAAAACCCAAATAAAATGAAGAGCACTGCTGTTAGCACGGACGGTGGTGCCTGTTTACTTTCTGGTGTTCAAACAGCAGCTAAAACAGTTGGAGATTTTATTCAATGTGGATGAACTGAATTGCTTTTTGGGGAGCCACACGTTTAAAGCGACCCTTTTAGTAATAATTTTTCTCCATCTCTGATTATGGAGTTCTTTTAAAGAATCACCTGTCCGTGGCTGATGGCAGTAGGTGTTCAGAGGTCAGTGGTGTTTGTGAGTGCTACTTGTTGCCTTGAATGGGCCCGCTAGTACTGCTTTTCTAAACCCCAGGTTCCATTTGGGTTCATCACATATTGCCAGCTGAAGATCTACTCAACAATAGTCTGACATGAGGAAAGTAGTCTTAGTGTTCTCTCTACTATGGGATAGAAAGAATATGTGAGAGCACCGAGGATCTTGCAGTGCGTCTGCCCTGAAGCCGCCTCCCCCAAATAGCAAACACTCCTGGCCAGAACTTTCAGTTTCTGACTTGTGGGAGGACAGTGTTCCCGTTACAGTCAGTCCGGGGCTGAGGTGGTATCTACTCTGCTCAGATTCCAGAGCCATGCAAGCCGGGGGGTCAGACAGTTACGCAGTGCTTCGTGTGTACCCCCTGCCCCCCGCAGTGCACCCCCTGAACAGACTGTCCCCCGGGCTCCCACATGGGCTCCCCAGGGTGGCACAGCCCTGACACCCATACGGGCTCTTCTCCGGGTTCGCCTGTGCTCCTTTTCCTTCCCAATTGTGTGAGAACCCTGAGAGAGAAATACAAACAGAGCCTCTCATTGGGACGGCAAACAAACAAAACCACACTGCTCTGACCTTTTTCTTTCTTTCTTCCCTCTCTCTAGCATCCCTGTGGTACGTTCTAAAGCAACAGATGTCCCTGGAGTTTGAGCCACTTGGTTATCTGGGTGTGGTCACTAATAGTCAGTTTTTCCTGCAGGTTTTTCAGTAAATGCGTCATCGGAGCGACTCAACATGGGCGAAATTGAGACTTTGGATGACTACTGAGCACCTGCCAGCGCACTGGCCTTCCTCTCCTGTCTGCCGACCACAGCTTCTCCACCTCTGGACACAACACTCACTCTCCGTTCACTCTTTATCACTCTGCAGCAGTTCACAGAACCCATCATCTCAGGCGTTTCCTTCCAGCCCTTTTTGTCCAAGAGTCTTTAAACAGTTTTTGTTGGTGAGCATCTCAGACTGTAGCCAAGCGAGCCGGACTCTGTCTCTCGGGGGCGGCAGTTGGGAGGCCTCCCCAACAAGGCTGGTTTTAGGCAGCACGTTTCCTGTGCCGTGATTTCATCGACTGTCTCCCAGAGAGTGTGGGGTCTGCCAGTAGCAGCTTACCTTCTCTTGTCATTTCCTCCTCCTCCTTTTCCCCCCTTAAGGGCAAGGGGGTCTGACTGGTGCAATCAGGAAGAGAGTTCATGGTCGGCAGACCTTGGTCAGCTGCACAGCACCCCGAGGACTGGCGGGAGTGTCCACCGAGGTGGGCAGGACTCTCCCAGTCCTACAGTTGGGTTGCCACAGCTAACTTCGGGATTGCATCCAGGAGGCCCCCAGTAGGGTGGAGTTTAGATTGGATTGGTTTGATGTTGCACCCCCCTTGCCTATTCTTTCTGAGATGCTTTCTTCATTAGATAGTGACTTCCAAGCACGCTGACTTCTCCCTGGCATACTCCTGATTGGACAAAGGAGACCCTATGGCCTGGGAGAGAGACTTATTCTTAATTTTTCTTTCTTACAAAAACTGATTTTTTCCATAAATATTTTTACTTCAGAGGACTAGGACCAGTTTGTTTTGGGCCCTTCTGCTGAAAATTTGTCTCGTTTAAGAGGCAGCTAGGATCTTTACCATATGTATGAATTTGTATAATTTCCTTTTGGATAGGGATAAATTTTTCCTTCTGATAAAGGCCCGGAATTTCATCTGGTTCCTCAGAGTATTGTATGTGTGTCTTGCTGTGGTCCCAAAAAGGTTTTGTTGAAAGATTCTGGAATGGCAATTGTTTGCGTTTTCTGAAAAGAGAACAACCTGACCATCTTTAAGACCCTGATCCGTGGACACCACGATGCAGGAGGATGCGGTGGGATGGAGGGGAAGGGAGATGACGGGAGGGCAGCCCGCTCTGCCTTCTGTTCTCCCTCCTCACACCCCTTTGCTTCAGATAGAAATGTATTCAAGCTCTATTTATAACCAGATACTCTCCCTGCTTCCACCAGCCCCCACAGAACACTACCAGGATTGCCAATCCCCCTTGGGGCTGGGGCCGTTGGACAGCTGTGCTGTGGGAGAGGCGCTGTGGTCTGGGTGGCTCCCGTGTGCAGCACCTTTTCTTTCTGTCCTCAACGTTTGAAGGAGGCTGGAGTTGCTCTGAGAGTTTGGTTTTGGATGATTTTATTTGGTTTCTAGTTTTCTTATTTTGGATCACCACTCTCCCTATCCCTCCTTGCCTCCCTCCCTCCTAAACATGTATAATAACTATACAGAGACTGCTACAAATGTGTATATAGTTTTTGGATCAAATAGCATGAGGAGACGGGGAACCCTTAAAAATCGGAACTCCGGCTCTCCTTTGCTTTGTAAATTCAGAAGTGGGGGGTGGGGAAGAGGGATAGTTAAAATGTTTACAAAACTTTAAGCTTCCTCGGAACTTTTGCCAGCGTGGAGGAAAATAAAGAACTTAAATAAACAGGGTTGTATTCTGTTTGAGCGTTCCTCTTGTACTTGCCTTTGTGGAGGCTAAGTTTTGTGCTAAACTGTCCCCCTTGGCACCACGGAAAAGCTCCAAGCAAGTGAGTGCCTGAGACCTGGTGACGGCGTCGCTTTCTCCGCCAGGCTATGGAACATTGGCTGGCCCTGTACTTGAGAACGTAGAGGTCAAGGTAAACACTGGTAAGCTTGACCAAATGTCTTTCCTCCTTTGTGCCAGAAGCTGGCTTTCTCCCTTTCTTCTGACTTGTGGGTTGTCCCCTGCCCTCATACCCACAGACATGCCCCCTCTGAGCATGCCATGCAACTTCCAAACTGGAGTGTTTGCTCAGGGAAAATAAAAATAAATTGGGGGTGGAATGGGCAGATTCCAAAAAAACCAAACGCATTGCCATCAAGTCGATTTGGACTCATAGTGACCTGATAGGACAGAGTAGAACTGCCCCATAGGGTTTCCAAGGAGTGCCTGGTGGATTTGAATTGCCGACCTTTCGGTTAGCAGCCATAGCTCTTAACCACTGTGCCACCAGGGTTTCCATGGGCAGATGAGGGGGATCAAAATCATTTTAGTCATGGAATGTTCCATTTGCTTAACCAGGAGACTTACTTCTACCTGAGGAATTTCCCACTTACTGGAAAGAAACCACTCTGCCCTAGGGGTGTTTGTTTCTGTCTCGATTCTGCTCTCTCACAGTCTCGTCTGCTCATTCTTCCACTTGTGGCCACTACTTTACCTGTTTTGAGAAATTCATTTCCAAATTCTCTTAACTTTTCCTGAGTTTTGGAACATTTGTATACTGTTTGTTTCCATTTATTTTAATGAAGAGGCAAGATAGTTTGATTATGATAGTTCGATTACCAGACAAGATATTTGGAGACTTTCCCAAGAGAGTTGGTGTTCTGGTTACTGTTGCTGCATAACAAATTGCCCCCAAATAGACTCAAAACAACCACTTCATTTTGTTTGTAATCTTGTGGGTCAGGAGTTTGGGAAGGGCTCGACTGGACAGTTCTTTCATGGGGTTTCATGTGGCTCTGGTCACATGTCAGCTGGGGCTGCAGTCTTAGGAAGGCTTCATTGTGTTGGATGTTCAAGATGGCTTGCTCACAACAACTGACTTGATGCTGGCTGTTGGCTGGGAACTGAGCTGAGGTGCTGACTGGAGGAACTGGATGTGGCCTCTCCAGCACGGCTGTCTCAGTGATTGGACTTGTTATGTGGCAGTTGGCTTCCCCCAGAGAGCCAAGCAGAAGCTGCATCCCATTATCTTTTTATTTTATTTTATTGTTGTACTTTAAGTGAAAGTTTACAATTCAAGTTAGTCTCTCATACAAAAATTTGTACATACATTGTTATGTGACCCTGATTGCTCTCCCTATACTGTGACAGCACACTTCCCCTTTCCACCCCTGATTTCCCATGTCCATTCAGCCAGTTCCTAACCCTCTTTGCCTTCTCATCTCACCTCTGGACAGAAGCTGCCCATTTAGTCTCATGTATCTACTTGAGCTAAGAAGCACACTCTTCACGAGTATCATTTTATGTCCCATAGTCCAGTCTAATCTTTGTCTGAAGAGTTGGTCTCAGATATTGTTTTAGTTCTGGGTTGACAGAGTCCAGGGGCCATGCTTTCTGGGGTTCCTCCAGTCTTCAGACCATTAAGTCTGGTCTTTTTACTAGAATTTGAGTTCTGCACTCCACTTTTTTCCTGTTCCATCAGGGACTCTCTGTTGTGTTCCATGTCAGGGAGGTCATTGGTGGTAGCCGGGCACCATCTAGTTCTTCTGGTCTCAGGCTGATGCAGTCTTTGATTTATGTGGCCCTGCATCCCATTATCTGACGTTTAAGTTCAGAAGTCACACAATGTTGCTTCTCTGACACTGTACTCATCCACTGTGATTTCTCAGTGGGAGAAGTAGCAGGTCCCCTCTAGAAGAGCATGGCGGATGGGAGATACTGTTGTGGCCGTTTTTGGAAAATACAATCTGCATAAAATGAGTTTATGCATATGTATCAGGGAACTTTAACTCTTTCACTGGCTCTAAGCTGAGGGAATTTTTTCTTAATTTCAGGATAGACAGCGGTATTTCTGGCTTCATTTTAAACAATTGTTTTTCTCTTAGGGCAACCAGTGTCGTTTTATACACAATATCTTAAAATATATTTGACCTGGTGAAGAAATCATCTTATTTTGTACAAAGTACCCCTCTCGGTATTATAAAAAGTCACTGCGTATAGACTCTAACTAGAAGTGATGCTTTGAAGTGAACATGTTTCTATACTGTGCTTTCAATGTGGAAAGTAGAACTTAAAGCAGGAGGCATGCACGTTCTAAGTAGAGTAAGGTAATATATTCCAATTGGAAGTTGGCCTCATGGTTGATGGGTTTCTTGGAATGGAAAAAGCCCAGCTCTGAATGCTGCCTATGGTCCTGCTTGGGTTCCTTGAGTTCCTGATGATGAAGCTGCAGTGTTTGTGGAGACCATGGGGAGCCATGACGTTGGGAGATGCTTTGGGAATGACTAACCTGTATAGCATTTGGGAATGCCAGTTCTGGATTAGGAACCTGCAGCCTTCAAGAGGAGTATCTCCCTCTGTAAAATGGTTTCATGCGAAGTCCTCTAATTTCACGAGGGGGAAGGATAATCACCATCAGCCCAAAGCGGATTCCCAGGAGGTGGAGGTCAGACATACCTCCACTCTCCAATCTTTTTACCAGTTCTGACACCAGCCATTGCTCTCTACTTCTCTACTGCTGGAACTCACAGACCATATTCACAATTAGATAGTTTATTAGGGAAGTAACAGGCTGCAGCTTGGGATCAGGATCAACTTGGAAGTAACAGAAACAACTCAGGGTAAGTTCTTCACTCTGGATAGCTGCTTCTTGGCAGTTCCTGCAGGTAGCCCTAGCTCTCAGCCTCTACTGCCAGGCCCTGCTTGGGCCTGGCCTCTGCCCTGCTCGGGCAAGTGTTACTATTGTTTAGCTCCACCAGTAAGTGCCTTGTGGCACCACACTCCACCAGGAAGCCTCCTGCCCGAAGACGCTCAGCTTTCTTCCTCGGTGGGTCCACGAGCCCACTGCAGTCATCTGCCAGTCCTGTGCCGCTGCCATCTCATACTGCCTCCCGTGTTAACAGCTGTCTCTCCTGGGTATAGGAGGTTATTGATGTGGGGACCCCAGGTCTACAGGACACCCTCCACTCCTAGCTGTTCTTGATGGTTGTGAGGTCCCCCTCAACCTCTGTGAGATTGGCTCTTTTAAGCCTAGCGGGGTGGCAAAACTGACCAATCTCCTTGGTAGGCCACAAGCACCTTATTTGCATAGTCACTGCCCATTTCCTGCAGGAGTTTTACACACTATTTGCCTAGTGCCAGACAGTCATATAAAAGCAATTCACTGCACTACAACCTCCAGGAACCGATTGGTGGGAATGTTGCAGCTAAAGAAACCACCACGGCTGTGGTTTACCATATGGGAGACATAGTACACAGACCGTGGGGAGGAGGAGAGGCGAGCTGTCCTAGCTACTGCCCTGTGACCTAAGCTGAAGGCTGCCATTGTCTCCCTTCACTGCTGGCAAAGTGATGTTGTGATGAAGATGAGACTTACGGCCACCTCAACACTCGGTTCAGTCCAGGTGGTTTGACAACGAGAGACATCACATCTCAAGAATTGTTTACTTATCCCCCAAAATGTAGCTGGAGTGGTAGGTCAGTTTGCCTTGGTAGCAAATTGCTTTTTCCTTTTAATTCTTCCTATACCATGAGAAATGGTACTGCAAATGGTCAGAAAGTCAGCATTAGGTATGGTTGCACGTAACAAGACACAGAGAAACAGTGGCTTGAATTGAAGTCGTTTCTCAGTGAAATCCAGGGGTTATCAGTCCATGGCTGGTTCTTGCTTTTAACATCCTGATTGCAGCTTCCATCATCCAGGTCCCCTCATGGTCCAGTGTGACTGCTAGAGCACCAGCCATCGTGCCCTCATTTCAGGGCAGAAGGATGGGGTGGGGTGGCATCTTAGGTCTTACCGGCCACAGGGTAGATACATAACTAGTTAGTTGGGAGAAAGGTTGGAAAATCTGAGGTTTTAGTTGAGTGCTTTGCCACCTCAAATACCATTGGGATTCTGTTACTAAGAAATGGAGAGAATGGGTATTGCATTTGTAGTTAATCTCTTATATCGGTCTCTTCAGTCTTCTGTTTTGAAATGGGAAACATTTAGAATAATTGAGCTTGTTCTTATTGACTGTGGGAAAGGGATTCTAGCGGTCACCCCAGTTTAGCCTGTAGCTTGAGAACCTGTCTTTTCCAGTGAAGGGATTCAGAACAGGCTCTGGTTTCCATTATGGTGCATAGCAGGGACCAGGAGCAGTTTCCAGTGGCTCAACCTTGATGTCTCTAGCATCTCCCACTTCTACACAGTGGCTATAGGATCTGTTGCTTTTATAGCATGAACCTGTGAATGGTTCTGTGAACAGGGGGCCTTGGAGTCAAGCTATCAGATTTGAATGTTGGTCCCACTACCTAGTTTGGGCAAGTTTCTCTTTGTATTTCTGTTTCCCCATCTTTGAAATGGGAATAATCAGATAGTTGTAACTTAATAAATTACATAGTACATGCCCAGCACATAAGTACTCTATAAATACTACTTATAGGCCATGTTACAAGTGAGAAGGGAGTTTGTGGGCTCATGTATAGACACAGTATAGCATATTAAATAAGGGTAACCTCCCTCTTCTGAGGATCTTCTGTGTAGACTCAAACCTCCAAACTTTTGGTCAGCAGCCAAGCGCGTTAACCATTTGCACCACCCCAGGACTCCAACCTCCCTCTTGTTACATACCGTTGAGTTGATTCTGACTCATAGGGACCCTATATGACCGAATAGAACTGCCCCATAGGATTTCCTAGGCCGTTATCTTTGTTTACAAGAAGAATTGGTGCTCTTGAATTATGGTGTTGGCAAAGAGTATTGTATATACCGTGGCCTGTGAGAAGAAAGAACAAGTGTCTTCAAAGAAGTATAGCCAGATGCTTCTCAGAAATGAGGGTGGTGAGATTTTGTCTCAGGTACTTTGGATGTGTTACTAGGAGGGACCAGTATCTGGAGAAGGACATCATGCTTGGTGTAGTAGAGGGTCAGCAAAAGGAAGACCCTCAATGAGATGGATTGACACAGTGGCTGCAACAATGGGCTCAAACATAGCAACGACTGTGAGGATGGGGCAGGAGCGGGCAGTGTTTTGTTCTGTTGTATGTAGGGTCGCTGTGAGTCAGAACAACTCGATGACACTTAACATCAGCAACAATCTTTGTTATGTTTGAATCCATTGTTGTGGCCACTGTATATGTTGAGTGCCTTCCAACCTAGGACTTACCTTCCAGCACTGTATTGGA